GGGTCGGTGACGACCAGCGAATTCCCGCTGTTGTATGTTTTTGTTTCTTTACTTTTGTTGAGCCTTTTTTTTCTTTTTCTTTTTGGGCGTTCCCTGTAAGTAAGGCATAGCGATGATACTATTTTAAATGTTAGTTTTATCGAATATTATATACCTTTATATACTTGCTCTTGCATTCATGATATTTGGTTTGCTTGTTTAAATGGTTGTGAAACTACACCAAGTCAAGGATTTTGTTATAGCCTACCTTTTTTTTTTATTTAACTTCACTGTTGGATGTATCTGACTAAACAGACGTGCTCCTCTCTTCAGTCACTATTAAGACTATACGGATATTGTATGCCGAGCCCCTAGAACTATCACGTCCATTATTGTTCCCTTCGCCCTTTCCCTGATTTATATCGTTGAGGTAACCAGCGCAGTAAGCTCTACACTGCCACAGTGAATGTGTCGTGTAACTATACAAGGATATACCGTTGTGTCACTATCAGTGAAGTCCCGGAGCTGGATCGAAACGTTCAGGATTTTTCTTGGTTGTATTTCTAGGCTAATGTTTAGCTTTCTGTGGAGAGGAAAGCACCGAGGTTCTGTATGGATGCTACAGTAGCCAAATGCGATGGGGCATTGATACATTTACTTCACATTCCATATCTGAGTACGAAGGTATTTGCCTGCCTGTAGCTTGGGGTTATGTATCTTGTCTCCAATCCTATCTGGGCTCTCTATACACTTCCCATTAATCTTAGGAATGACCCTTTTATTCCTCCAGAACAGGAGTGCGGAATGGCTCCTGACCGCAGTATTGACCCCAGCCATCCAACTGAGCTGAAGCCCACTTGATGATCTTGCTGAAGCCTTTATCCTCATCCTTGGGTGTACAATAGTAAGAGTTATCAGACGAACTGAGCTTGCCAGTGTTCTCAACAGAGGGAGGGTACTCAATCTGCAGCACAGGCTTGCCAGCATCAATATATATCTGGAAGTCTTCACAGAAAGGCCAGTTCTCCTCGTCAGGATCAGTGGTGCCGCGGCAAGACTCAAGGACAGCAAAATCAAGCGTCAAAACGAGGTCCTCGGCAATCTCAGGGGCATTCTTCTGGCCAACAAGGAGGGAATTGCCACCCTTAGTCTTGATAGAGTGTGCATACTCTGCAAGTCCCTTGAGGTAGTCGGTGTAGTCGGATGGTTTGAGCTTGAACCCCGTAGGATCTTTTTCGTCCTGCTGCCATGCGTCCACGTTGTCAGGATCTACAGCATCACAGCCGATTCGAGCAGCAACATCGAGGCGTGCCTTCTGAAGCTTGAGCACCGTTGGACTGCGGATATCTAGGTACCACTCCTCACTATCGTACGGATATGCCAGAGAATGACCGACAACAGCTTTGGGGAACTGGTCCCTGTCTTCGTCCCAAGACTGCACAGCACCAGCGTTGAAGTAGCAGACGACAAATTTGCCTGCGCTCTTTTTGAACAATTAGTTGTGTGGTCGCATATAAGAAAACGATCAATACCTTGAGAAGCGGAATCATTTCTGGATGATCGCGAGCATGCGCCATGTCCACATCCCAGACTTTAGCTGTAGTTGGGATCAAGTCAGCGGCGCTATCGTGCTTGATGGGCTGATGGATGACAATTTCCCATTCAACACCGGGCTTGAAGTCGGATAACTGAAACGGGGCGACAGAAGTGGTCGTTTGTCTTGCTTTGGCAGATGAAGTTTTGGCATGACCAGGAGCAAGACACTCGCTTTGACGACGAGCGCTTGCAGAGCCACCAAGAGCCAGTGTAGAAATTACAACCCAGTTGAGAGCTACCATGATGGGCGATGATCAATTGCAGTAGCAGGGACAAGATGAGATATTAAAATGTTAAGTGAAAGGGTTTGAGTTGACGATCGAAGTAAGCAGTGAAAATTAATACTAGATAGGGGAGGTGGATATCATAGGTGAGGTCAGAGTCACTGTACTGGACAAGGTATATTCGATGCAAGAAGAAAGCACAGGCAACGACGACAGGCTAGTTCATTGTTATCTTAAAGGCATCATTGCCAATATCCTGACGGAACGATTGCGTCTTGGCGTTGAGCTCGCTGCTTCAGGTTATCCTCATGATTATGGGCCGAGTCTAGAAGGATTCTGTGAACATGCCATGCATGGGCACAGCCGCGATTCCAAACGCAATCCTTCATGGTTTTTGTAGCAGCCATACAGAATAGAGAGCAGCAGTTTCCAAACCTATATATGGCAAGGTCGAGGATGCGATTCATAGTGGGGCGTCAGCAGAGCGCCATACGACGGGAGATTAAATGAATCCTTGTCCGAGGAACACATCCTTGGACAATGCGGCAACCTTGAATTGATTCATTCAGCTGGACAGCCCAAATAAGCTTAACGGACTCTGCAGAAGAAGCGGCTCGTGTGTTCTTTCAGAAGGGCTGGAACGGCGTCTTTAATTATTAGGATTGTGACCCACTGTAGCCCTATATAGGGATATAGGGACTCATGGACTCGGATGTTGAATGGTCCTAAAGCTGCATCGCAGTTCCCACCGCAGCCTCTCGTGCTCTGCGAACTTCATCTCGCCTTTCCTCGTTCTCCTCCTTGATTCGTTCCTCGACATCATCTCTAACGCCTCCCAGATCGGGAGGTATCGTTTGGAACTGGACGCTTGGAGCTGCCTCTACAAAGCGAAGTTGTTCAGTAACATGTTGCACAATTTCCTGTAAACGTTTTGGAGGATTTCGGTTCACTCTTGGTTCGCCTAGGATTTGTTCAAGTGTAGGGAAAAGTGTATCCTGTCGGAAGTGGTCGCGCCATGGAGCATGCTCGGGAAGAATGGGGTTGATCTTGTCCTGGGCGTTAATAGCGATACTAGTCTCATATGTCCATGCCCTGGCCACGTTGCGTGGAGTATACCCGCCTCCTCCAAAGAGAATCATGGGGATTCCCATGTCTTTACAGAACTTGACGCAGGCTCCGTGCCCCTGAACCTGAAGATTGAAGCGACCGAGACGATCGCCGGCGAGAGAATCAGCACCGCATTGTAGAGCAATGGCGCCAGGTCGGAACTTTTCAACGATTTTGCCAATCACGGTATTGAACAAGTGATCGTATTGTTCATCAGTAATACCGTCATTCAGAGGTACATTGAAGGCGTGGTGGGCGCCCGGGTTGTGCTCGCTCTTGGGGCCGTTGTCATCAAGAGCGCCAGTACCCGGGAAGAAGTTGTTTGGATCATATTTGTGAAAAGAGACAGTCATGACTCTGTCGGTTGAGAAAAAAGCTTCTTCCACTCCGTCGCCGTGGTGTACGTCGATATCGATATACAAGACTCGGGGATAATGGCGAAGGAGTTGGAGAATAGCGATCACGATGTCGTTTATATAGCAAAACCCGGACGCTTCAGACCTCTTGGCGTGATGGAGGCCGCCACCCCAGGAGATAGCGATATCAGACTGCTTGGAACAGATTTTCCTGGCCGCATCAAGAGATCCACCAGCGGACAAAGAACAATAGTTGAAGAGACCATCAAAGAGAGGACAATCAGAACCGCCCAGGTTGAACTTTAAGTCTACTCCTTGGTTCTCAAGATCCCGAGGGACTGGTTCCGGCAGTACTGTACCGAGGAAGTCCAGATAGTCCTCAGAGTGGAACTCAGCGAGTTCCTCATACGTGGCTGATCTTGAGATGTAATTGTCCATTGCGAAGGACATGCCGTAAGAGTAAATGAGACTCTTGGAGAGAGTCAACCGCCAGGGTTTCATAGGATGCGTGACACCAAAGTGATGCTTCTCGATATCTGGGTTGCAATGGAAAGATACGTTGTACCCCTTGGGCCGTGTGATACCAGACTCCTCGGCAAAACGCTTGCATTTGTTGTAGAATTTGGCATTATCCATCTCGCTTGCTAAACCCAGAGGAGCATTGGTGAACTCTTCCACGATGGAGTTATCGCGGTCATCGTCTGGTATATGAGGAAGATAGTTAGGCTTGGGCACCCTGTACCTGTAAGAGTCTATATCCATGGTTGAAGAAGTATAATGGTCCTTTGATGACTGATTCAGATGTAATGTAGAACACGACGCAGCTGGTTGATGGATGACTGAGTGGATGAGTAAGCCGGTTTCGCAAACTGCGCGGGCGTGATAAGTAAGAGTCTCGATCAATAGTATGTTTAGTATGGCGTTGCTAATCAGGTTCCTCAGAAGCAGTTGACGATCGAGTGGTGTGGGTTTAAAGTTGATGTAGATGTAGCTGGTAAAATGGATGGCTTCAAATGTCCAAAGTCGAAAATGGACAAATGCAAGCGGTTGGCAACTGCAAGCTGCGCTGAAGTCCTTAGGTAGACCCTGTGGGGAGTGGGTAGCGGACAGGTGCCTAAACTTCTCAAGTAGAGTTAGGTACTTCAGTGGAGGCAGCGCCCTGAAATTTCACCTGTTACAGCTTCAGAGACCTGACGATACTTTGCTGATGGATGAAATTGCCAGGAACCGCCTGCAGATTCCATCGATTTAGCGGCTCATTCAATCTATCTATACCCGAACAGGCCTAACACCATCCGTGATAGGTTAAATCTGTGGCTGCAGCATGTGGCGGCCTTTGAGAGGAGGCTGGTGAGGTTGATCAAACTGGACGTCACTTGACCTCTTTAGGTGAATGATTCTTGATGAAACTTATTAGAGTGTTGGATACCAACCTCACGCCTCCACCTTTTTTCCCTATCCTTCATCCAAAGAAGAGGAAACGCTCCCAAAAGAGAAGCGACACATCTGTGGCTACTGCTTGGGTTAGTTCTTTCTTGACTTTGCTCGAATTAAATTGAGCAGAAGCAGAACCAAAATAGAGCACCACGACTTCCACTGCTCTCAACATCCAACTCAAAGCCATCCATCTACCTATCTCATCTCATCTCATTTCCATCTCAAATAGAAAGGACAAGCGAGCAAGTGGGTATCGAGGTGAGCCGAGCCGAGTCATTCATGTCGATTGCTCTCCGCGTTCTTCTTTGATTGAATCTGAATTTGGTCTCGAACCAAAGCCAACCTATCATTGCTTTGCTTGGCTTTGCCATGCTTTACTCTGCATTGCTTTGCATTTGTATTGCTCTGCATTGCTTTGCAGGCTCGCGATAGCCAGAATTAATTCATCAACTCCCCTGCTCTTTCTTCCCCCGTTTGGCTTCGGACATTTGTGCCCGTTACATGGGACCACTTGCCTTGCATCTTCTAGAAAGCCACTCCTTGTCCTTGTCCTTGCTCTGTCCCGCCTTTCTTGTCTTGACAATCTAAAGACTGGGCATACTCATTCTGCTTTCCTCTCTTCTTCATCTCCATCTTCATATATATACGTTCACTGGTCTGACGGTATAGCACTGCGCACCCGTCTTACCCGTCGAACTCTTTTTTGGAGGCTTCGACCTTGTCGCAACCGCATTTCTCTATTAGCGCGCCGCATTCTCATCGTTAACAATCATGCCTAGAGACGATTTGTCCATCGACTTCGTCAAGAGGATGCCTCAAGCCGAGCCCCTCGATCCCGGCATAATCCTCGAAGACTGGATCAATCGAGTCCAGAACCTACCCGAAGAGATCCAGTTTGTTCAAAACGAGGTTGCCGACAAAGACCGCCAATACAACGAGTGCATACGTATCATCGAGGATCGCGACGGAAAGATTCAAAAATGGATCAAGACCAATGGAAGCCACGAGCCAAATCCTAAGGAGGAGCTTCTTCGATCACAAGTACGCGACAATTATGCCCGAGCCGATCAGCTGTCACAGGAAAAGATTGTTTTGCACCAGAAGATGCAGCTTCTGATGGACAAGCATCTAAGGAATTTGGACGTTCAAATAAAACAGCTTTACGATAGAGGCGAGCCTGGATTTACCGATCCAGACGAAGTCCCATCATTACTCCGACCAAGCGCGGCAAACCACACTGCCCCCTCGATCCGCGCCATCAATCCAGCGAGCCACATGACGACTACCGCCGGCCCATCGACTCCTCTCGCCGCTGCGCAAACCTCTTCCAATCCCGCACTCGCTCGGCTCCCGAACCACCCAAACGTCCGACATACACAGGCTCAGCAACACGCTGCATCCGCCCCTGCAACGCCTGCAGCCAGCATCATTTTGAACAGACAAAGAGAGGGTTCTGCGGGACCTGCAACTAAGCGCGCTCCACGTGTAAACCCAGGTCTGGGCATTTTGCCGACTGCTTCGAGCGGCTTAGCAAGACATTCTTCACTCGGTCCAGGCACCCCTAAGGGAGGTGTCGCCGGAGGATCTGGTCTTGCAAGAGCAGGAAGTGCAGGCCCTAGAGCAAGCTCCGTGAAGTCGGCGGGGATGGTAAGCGGACGTCGAGGCACACCAACCGGAGGAGCAAGAAAGAAAATGCCCAACAAATCCAATCTGTCGCGAGTAAAGAAGGCTTCGAACCGAAACTCGCCTGCGGCAACGAATGATAGTGAACTTTCGGATGTGGACAGCGGTAGCGGGGAAGAAGAAGATGGTGCCGACGGTCGGTCAAGGGGCACGCCTGTTGCCGATGGTAAAGACATGGACGGCGATGATATCGTAGGGGATGCTGACGAAGACGATGAAGAGGCTGGCGACGACAAGAAGTACTGCCTATGCCATAACGTTAGCTACGGCGACATGGTTGCGTGCGACAACGATAATTGTCCGTATGAGTGGTTTCACTGGTCATGCGTTGGCCTCAAGAGCGAGCCCAACGGGACGTGGTATTGCCCGGTATGTGCCGAGAAGTTCAAAAAGAACAAGTAAATTCGGTGGTGGATAGGGCTTTGAAAACATGGAATTGAGTGCTACGACAGCATTTGAGAACAAGATGCTTTGGAATAAGATGGTGAGCATCGGCGTTTAAGTGGAACGGTATATACCCATGCTGCTTTGAGGAGTCAATATCTGATCCTTGAGTAACAGGAGAAGATCTCAAGAATAAATTCGCATGACTTGAAAGGATTGGTTCGTTTGACTTTAATTTGAGATTATGTAGACCCGAGAAGGCACTGGACGACACCACGCCGAACACCCTCTGACTCTTCCCTCAGTTGCTCTACCTTGGCACCTTTTTGTCGTGCCTTATCAACAAAATCATCGAGGGAACCGCCAACGCCAAAGTACATTCGTTTTGCGCCAATGTAAGCGCCGGCTTCGCTTCCCTCGGTATCTCGCTCCCTCTCCAAGACCAGGAAGAGTGTCTCTAGGAAAGCCTGAAGCGCAAATGGGGAATAGATTGTCTCCGCGCCCAAGAGTAATGTGCTACTTGGCTGGCCGTCTCCTGATGGTAGAGTGTAGAGGAGGTCCACAAACTCCTGGGACCAGGCGCCGGAAACAAAGGAAAGCGTAATCTGCGATTCCTCGAGGAACTTTTGAAAGGCAGCGATGACATCAGGGCCAAGCTCGACCTCACCCTCGATCGAGAAGGCCTCTTGAAGGGCGGGTAGCTGAGTGTTATTGAGAGCCCATGAGAGAATGAAGTTAGGGAGAGTGACCAGTTGGAGAACTGACGGGTTGTAATCTGCCATGATCAAAGACAGGGGCTTCCTTTCTGTTTTGGAGGTCATAGCCCAATGGAATACGGCCAAAGATGGCAACGCAGTACCACATCCAAGCTGTTGATATAGGGTTAGACGTAACACACTGCATACATGAACAACTTCACTTACCTCAATGACTCGAAAGGCCTTCTGTTCCAGCGTAGAGATAGCTTTGTTGGAAGCCAGGACCTTGACAAGGTCAACACTGCTCTCCCAACTCTTGAAGCCACCCTCATAAACACCCGTCTTCACATCATGACTACCCAGACCCTCAGACTGCGCTCCAGCAACATCCTCCTCTTCAGCCATGAGCTGTACCCTCACATCCCACAGCTCTCTTCGCGGCAACTGCACAGTAGTACCGTCATCAAGGGTCACGTCAAGAAGACTATAGGCGATCTTTGAGGGCTGCTGGGCGAGAAGATCGGATAGTTGGTGGACAGTTGGTGGAAGCTGAGGCTTTCCTGGGACTGGAAATGCGCTTCCAGTGGCTACAGGAGCTGGAGCCGTGGGCTTGACGGTTGAAGAATTCTGCTCATCATCAGAAATGTCATCGCCAGTAAAGCCAAATGAGAAAGACATGGTAGCTGGTGTTTATAACGAGTCTTGACTTTGTCACTTGTGAAGTGCTTCAAGCCAAGGTGAGGTTAGTAGGCAAAAAATAGTGAGTGTGTGCACTGTGTAGTGGGGCTTGAAGTGAAAGTCAAGGTAGTCAAGTCAAGTCAGTCTTCAAGATTCTGTCCGTCATCAATTTCGACACTCGTTTCATTCGCTGTCAACACCACAGTGATTGGACTTCTTAACTTTCATGTACTCGTAGCTTCATATCATCGGAAACATCTCAAATCACCATTCAAAATGCGCCCGTCTTTGTTGAGGCTTGCATCAGCCGCCAACACCCAGCGCGGTCTGAAGCCAAACCCCATGGCCCTTCTTCCTCCTATTCCCTTGTATCGACGACTCCTCCGTGCTCATCGCAAGTACCTGCCTGCTGAAATGAGACTGCTCGGAGACGAGTACATCAAGGCTGAGTTCAGGGCGCATAGGAAGGTTGATAACCCAGCTCATCTGGTATGCTATTTCAAGAGGAACTATGGTAAGAGAGGTGTTGACTCAAGGGACAGATCGGATTCTTGACTGAGTGGCAGATGTATGCTCAAAAGATTGAGGGTGACCAGTGGGTAGGTGACAAGCTGGATGAGCAGAAGCTCTCAAAAATGAGTGGTGAGTAAGAATGAGTGTTGTTAAGCAGACTTTTACTAACTCCATGAAAGATGAACAAATACATCAATTATATGAGTTGATGCAGGCCATTCAAAACAGGGACAAGGAGGGTGGCGAGCAGGAATCATAGACGCATCCATGTTTACATTTTATAGAGATATTGTACAACTAGGTTGGAATTATGTATATCTTTTGCCTTTAGCTTCCCTGCTTAGGAGAGTACTGAGATGAGCTAATTTTGTAAACGTCTTGCTTGATTGAAAATATTTTCCAAACTCCTTACTCATTAATACGATGACATACAGCTGTCAGACTCGGAGCAACTGGTCGTCTATCTACCCTCCAATGCCTCAGCAATCCATACTGCTTGGATCGCGCTGACCTTCTTGGCATAGTTCTTATTAGTATAAACGTGCTCCAGGAACATGATGGCCTCCTTCTTCTGTCCGTGTAACACGCTGGCGGGGTGAATGGCCACAACGTGCTTGCCTTGCACCGTGACATAAGAGCTGTCCGGAGCGAGCATCGCAGTCTTCAGTGCAAATCCACGCAAAAAGCATTTGAGAACTTGCTCGGCACGCTCTGGCGAGATCGGAACAAATGGCTGGGGATCGGCTGGCGGAGCCTCATCCAAAAGCTTCTCCTTGAGACATAGACCGCGGAGCTGCCTTCGGATATTCAGAGCTTGCCTCATGTTTCGCATGTTGATCTTTCGTTGCTTGCACCAATTCACTCTGTCTGCATTCTCAGCTGTGTATTGCTGAATAGCCGTGAGATATGTGATGATATCTCCTTCGCGGCGCTGGAGCTCCTTTCGGTATGTCTCAACTTCTTCCTGTGCCTCCTCGGATTGGATACTCAGGAAGATGTCTTCTCCAGATGTAATACAAGAGATGATGTCGATGACTTCAACCACGCAATCAAATTCGGGATCAGCAGCAGCAAGTAGCACAGCTCCCATAGGTGCAGAAATAGGGAAACGGGCCATGGTCTCGCCAGTCTTGGTGATGGTTCCATCGTCGTTCAGAGCGCCAAGAAAGTGCAAGTGAATCAGTGCCTTTTCGATCGCTTCTGTTTCCGGAGGATCCATGAGAGGAAACGACAAAACGTCCTGGATTCCGCGCGCCTTCATAGTCAACACGGCTCCCAGGACATCATTGCGAAGGATTTCCGGGAGATCAGAATCTTGCAGCGTCTTGAACGCCGTTTCTGGGTACAGCCGGAAACATTTACCTGGACCTTCACGACCAGCTCGACCAGTTCGTTGGACAGCAGATGATTTCGAGATAGGTTTTGCGAGGAGAGATTCCATGCCAAGACGAGCTCGATATTGCTTCACCTTGGCTTTTCCGCAATCGACCACATATCTGACTCCGGGTACAGTAACTGATGTTTCGGCAATATTTGTTGCCAGCACGATCTTTCGAGTAAACGATGCCTTGACGGGCAAGAAGGCCTCACGTTGCGCATCCATCGACAACTGACCATACAACGGGAAGACCTTGATTTTGGGGACATTGCTGGCCAATGTCGCAGCGTATTCTTCAATCAGTTTCTGCGCCGCCTCGATCTCTTCTTGGCCTGTCAGGAAAGCAAGAATATCTCCAGGAAGTTTCTCCTGCAAGTGGATCTTGTAGATCGCCTGCAGAAGCGCGTCTTGAAGATCGGGTACTGGGCGTGGCTCGTGGTACACCGTTACGGGATATTGTCGTCCCTTAATCTTGAGAACTTGGAGCGTGTTCTCATCTTTTGCCTTAGGACGGATGTCTTTAAAGAACTCCTGGATACCCTCCACATCCGCTGTAGCACTCATGATGACAACTTTAAGAGGGATGCCACCGCGGCCAGACAGATCACTGGCGAGAATCTGTTTCAGAAAACCGACCAGAAGATCAACGTCAAGACTTCGCTCGTGAATCTCATCGACCACGATCGCGCTGTAATTCTTGAGGTTAGGGTCTCGCAACAGTTCCTGCAGCAGCATACCCTCGGTCAAGAATTTGATCCGCGAACCCTTTGGCACTTGATGGTCGAACCGAACTGAATAACCAACCAGACCATCTGATCGACCTTTCCCTAACGGCGTGCCGGCTTCCTGAGCAACTCGATGGGCCAGTGTTGTCGCAGCGACTCGTCGGGGTTGCGTAATAGCGATCGTGCCCCCGACAGCAACTTCTTCGTCGGATCCAGCGATCTTGATCCGTTGGCGCCTACACCAAGGCTCCTGGTACAAAAACTGAGGGACCTGCGTACTTTTACCGGAACCTGTCTCACCCACTAGAACGAGAACATCACTGTTGTTCCGTAGCGCTTGTTGGATATCCTCACGATACTGCCAAATAGGAAGCTGTTTGCGAGTTTTAAGCAGTTTTGGGTCTTCTCGACTTCGTGCTTTTTCGCTATAATGACCTTTTGCCTGTCGATCCTTGGGTTCCTTTCTTGTCTTGTGCTGTATGGGATCTTTCTTCTCTGCTACAGTGGCTGTGGTTTCTGTCTTTTCAGCAGTTTCGTCGGGTGTTGTTGTCGATACTTTTGCTGCTGCTGCTTCTTTAGGCTTGGAGGGTGCTGTGAGGTAACCCTCAAGAGAAATGACTTTTCCTCCGACGGTCACAGCATTTGGGTCCTTTGACTTTGTTTTTCTCTTCTTAGCTGGAGGTCCAGAAATATTGTCGGTCGCCATCATGCCCAACGTAGATTTGCCTCGTCTTACAAGTTCGTGGAAGTCTGGGGGTGTTTTTTTACTTTGGAAAATTTCATGCATGTTTAAGTGAAACCACAGTGCTTGTACAATTAACACTGTGCTCATAGACATATAACTTCATCCATCATGGACACAAACCTCACCAACAGGAACACCAATAGTTTTAGTCATAAGCACCGAAGTCATTTTCCCTCCAGAAATACGGCATATTACTTGGTATCGTGATTCAAGTATAAGTGACGCCAAGTTTATTGCATGAATAGCTATTGTAACACTCCCAGAGCGCGTTTGTTTGCAGTGGCCTACGCTATAGCCTCGACCAAGTTTAAGCTGGTCTTGCAGTTTTGCAGTGTAAATACCTCCATTGGGTGAATTAGATCCGAGCTTTCGTTCTCCCTATCCCAATAACATTTCTATGTATCGTCATATTGTGCATGAGTCCTTACTTGATACGTGCCAAGCGTTCGCGGTTCATTCTCGTAGCATCATCAACAGTGTCGCTCTATTCTCGAGGTTAGCGATAAATCCAAAATATTCGAAACAGCAAAGAAAAACCACTTGCCTTGACCATAATACGATCGATCTGCTTATTCTGCGTGTCAACCTCCTTTCCAATGGCTCGGCCTACCATGTTCATCATGGACACTTGGCCTTCAAGTTCGTTGATGCCATCGTCAATTTGGTCTTCAAGTTCGTCGGCTCCTTCTTCATCCTCGAGGTTGAACTTTCCGTAGTCCTTCTTGCGTGGTTGTTGTCGTGGTCGGCCAGTGGTATTGATGTCTCTGAAGTTGCTTTCCATGCGCTGGTTGGCTTGGAAACCGTCACGACGAGTGGCTTCCCGCTGTTCTCTTTCCGACCGATGGCGGTTCATGACTTCCTCGTCTGCCTTGGCCTTACGCTGCTTGGAGGTAAAGGGGTTACTAACATGGACAGCGAACATGCTGCCATTTAGGGTCTTGAGCTCGGCAGCTCGATCCTGGGCAATCTTGTTCTGGTTGGCAGCCAGATCGAGATGCTTTTCGGTGTTGTTAAGTCGTTCTCCCTGTGCTCCCAGACGGGCGAGAGTGGCACGACCAACTTCGTTGGCCTGGCGAGCCATTTGAACTGAGCGATTGACCGAAGATGCACTCTCCTGTTGAAGTTGTCGCTTTTCTGCGAGGATGGATTGGTATTCAACCTCTTCCTGCTCCTCGGCGGTCAGTTCGCGCTCCTCGCCATAGCCACCGTAAGAGCCACCAGTGGCCCCTGATTGCGGACCGTTGTTGGCGGGTTGCTGCTTTTGGGCCTGTCGCTCCTGAGCGCCAGCGAAGAGGTTGTCACGGTTGCTGTCTGGATCACTAGGTCCGAAACCACCATAGCCACCTGGGCCTCTTGCACCAGCAGGCGGAGCAGGGCTGTTGTATTGGTTCTGAGAAGGAGCGTCACCATATCGGTTTCCACCATAACCGCCTCCGGATCCGTATCGATCAGCACCGTAACCACTTGGGGGCTGTCCCTGGGCGGGAGGAGGAGCACCATAAGAGTTAGGGGCCTGAGGAGCTGGGGAAGAGCCGTTGTTCAAACCAGCGCGTGCTTGCTGATAAGGAGTTACGTTGGCGTACTTCGCATCGTCGGCGTAGGGATCCTTGCCGCCTTGTTTGGCGTAGGGGTTCTCGGAGGAAGAGGACTGAGATGACTTCTTGCGACCGAATAGGGCATGGCGGTTGGAGTCGTCGCCATCGTCGCCTTTCTTTCCAAAGCCAAACTTCTTCATGGCAGATTGTGTTGACTGACTTGAATGCGAAGGGAATTCGGGTTATTGTCGTGGTGACTATTCGTGTTACTAAAGAGGAGATGGAAAAAGGAGGATTATGGATGTCAGAAGTTGAAAGGAGACGAGAATGGGCTGCGTTGACTTATTAGAGGACTGGACTGACCGATGGGAAGTTACCTTACCTAGTTGCCTTACTGGTGGGGGGAGCGGACCCTGGGCGGTGTCCTGTCCTCCACTGGTTGTACCTGACTGCCCCGTACAAAGTGCTGTACCTTTAGGTTTCCTTGGATGTCATGGGTGGCGTGCCTATCCATTTAATTCTAGCATCGTTTCGGGGATGGTTCAGGCGCTCGTCAGGCCCAGACTGAGAGAAGGTTTGGGTTTGTAGGGCACTTATGCAATGCCATGCAATGCAATACCGGTATTCAAAGTCAAGACGCGCCCAACAAGCAAGCGCCTGTCTGTCGCCTGGGCTGGGATCCATCCGCAGATGGATCCATATCTCAGGTCAGGTCTAGTGTAGCAGCCGCAACCTGGAACGAGAACCCCTCCATGCAAGTCCCTGAATCCTTTAACTTAATCGAATTGGACACCGGCAGTCAGTCATTGACATTGTGATTCACGTCTTTCAGCAGTGACCATGCCTGTGTATCGGATAGCATGAAAGCAATAGTCGACTGCTGAGACTACACTTTTGCTTCACTCAAGTGTACCTAGGTAGGCATCAATTGGGCAAGTGGCTTAGCTTTCAATGCGTCAGCATGTGGCGGCTGCGTGTACATACTTTTGGTCAGAATGTCCGTAGATTTACTGTAGGGTATCTATTATACGACTAATGTTGATATGGATGCACTTTATATAGCATTGGTTTTAACGAAACTCGCATTGACCAAAAACGAGCTGGACTTTTCCCAAACAAACACGAAGCTAGACTCCTATACTGTTCTGTATCAATATAGTTTCATAGGTGGGGTCTGGCTGGTGATTGGATTGAAGGACCTCATTCCACATTCCGTGTTCTAGAAGAGCTCTGGAATGGTCACTTAACCAGTGCTGCAGAATCGATCAGGAACAATTGGGTCTGAGGTGAATGAGGCACGGTGGATCTGAGATCTTTCTCAGCCCGTCAACCCAAGGAGGCTTATGCTCTAAACTTGTTATATGTTGGTAGCATGTCGTTGTGAATTCGTATTACTCAACTCGACATGGATGGATGATGCCAGTGTGGAATTCTACTCGACGCCTATCTGCAGTAGAATATCCGCGTTCCAAACACTGCCACTAGGTAATATCCATGACTTGAATCGATGACCACTTCGAGGGTATTTGTATGTCACGTGTTTGATCTAAATGCGATGATAACTTTGGGTGAGAGAAGTTGGAAAGTTATTCAACAGAACTCTGTCGATGAGTCATGTAGTGGCACTTCATAAGGAAGATAGATAGTCTGGCTGAAGTTGATCAATTTGAGAGATGATATAAACCATGAAAACAGATTAAATGTATATCCACCAAGCTACAGACTGCTGTCACTAATAATAATACTTCTTCAATCCATGACTGGGTCTTATTCTTGAGGTTCATCTGGGGCCGCAGCCGCTAAAGACCCCTGCAGACTCCACCGACATCCACCACTGAGACAATGAACTTACAGACATCAACTGCCCTGTAAATTCAGGACCATTGAGGCGATCACGGCACACCAGGTTCTTGTCAAACTCTCATGATTGGTTGCTTCGCCGATGCGTCACCTCTCCATGACTGTCCAGGTTCCGACCTATTCAGTCCGTCAGCCGCCCGCGATACTTTGACTTTGACTTTGACTTTGAGTTCATCCATTTTTATCTCATACATTAGTTATTTCAACTCCCAAAAAGCGACTTCTTTATGCGCTTCGTCATTCATAGTCTTAACTCTTAACTCTCATCCTTCATCACAACTTCTGCCTTATCAATCGACGTCATGCTTTACGTCTACTGAGCCGGCAACTGACCGCCTCAACCTACCCTTTCTAAGAGTCGTGATCGCTTCATTATCACTGCACTCTTCTTACAACTCTCAATACTCCTCTGAGGATTAACAAGATGATAATTCAAATACACCACGCCTTCCCCTTCCTCGTTATTGGATATCCCGCCCTAGTATCATATCTATTACTGCACCAATTGTTATCCATATCTTGACCTGAAAGATCTGTTTAGTATTTTCCCAGTATCAAATTTTGTCTATCAACATTTCGTTTGCTACTACCAGGACAGCCATGTCTGTCTTCACTTATGATCCAGATCCTCCCAGGGTCTCATCTCCTTGGACGCAGCTTAGTGACCTGGGCAAGGACGGATCTGAGCATCTGGGCCCAGAAACCTCTCAATCAGCCCAGCGGCTTGATTCCGGATTGCTATCTGACTATGGAGTCACAAAGCTTCAAGCCGAGCCGCAAGACGGACCCACGGAGTATAAGCTCCACCTGCTTCTTCGACCACGGAGAGTTTTCAAAAGCATGAGTACGACCAACAAGTCGCGCCATGGGCGACTCAAGCTCTCAGTCCCTTCCCCAGCTGCTTCTAGTCAGCCTCGACAACAAAGGCTTGAGCATTTGACAACCCAGCTCTTGTGGCGACTACAACAGTCTTCTCCTTATCACTCATCCAGCTCCAAGAAACTGGTACTCCCCAAGCTTCCGGACGATAACGTCGATCTCACTGCTCCCGTAAAGCTCAGGAAGCTGGTTCCCGGCTTGGAAGAGTCCAGAGGTGCATTGTACGAAATAGGTGTCGCCGACGATGGCACGCTTGTTGGACTTACAAAGGATGAGTTGGAAGAGAGTATCACAACTTTGAGAGTAATGGCTGCCAGTCTAGGTTGCACTGTCGATGTTCGTCGGAGAGTTGTTGTCGGCCACTGTGAATGGGCTGAGGCTACAGAATTCACCAGTAGTACTGAGGTCTCCCCTGACGAGACCATCAGGAGTGCCAAGCTCTGGGTTGCCGAAGCATTTGTCATGCCCTACTTGGGTTTGATAGATGGGATGAACGGAGAACATGATATAGACACCAACAAACAGTCTGCAGCAGAGAAGGTTTCTGTGCCCAGCCGTGGCAGCTCGACAACGCCGCAGTTGAGAGTTACCTTCACTGGACCTACAACATCCGGCAAAACGAGTCTTCTGGGAACACTATCAACAGGCGTCCTGGATAATGGTCGTGGTAACAGTCGACTTAATTTGCTTAAACATCGTCACGAGATGGTTACGGGAATTACCAGCTCGATAGCACAAGAGCTCATTGGGTACAAAGATCAGTCAATCCTCAACTGCAGCCGTGGAAACATCGAGTCCTGGATCGATATCCACAACTGTTCTGAGGGTGGCCGTTTAGTGTTTGTGTCGGATTCCGCAGGTCACCCAAGATATCGGCGCACAGTCCTTCGTGGTCTGATGAACTGGGCTCCTCATTGGATTATTCTGTGTTTGGCGGCTGATGATACTGAAATAGCTACCAAAACCAACGGAGTGTCCAATGGTTTGGGAGTCTCTGCGGGTGGAGTTGATCTTGTTAAGGCACATCTGACTCTATCTCTCAAACTGGGCATTCCTTTAGCAGTCGTCGTTACTAAGATGGACCTTGCTTCCAAGACAAGTGCGCACAAAATCACTAACAAGGTTTTGTCAGCTGTAAAAGACGCTGGGCGTGTGCCCAAAGTCCTCCGGCCTGATCAGAAAGCATGGGGTGACCTCAGTAGAGTGCCTGATGACGACTCTGCCAAAGTGAGAGACTTGTTGAAGGGAATCTCAGAGAGTGGAAATTTGACGGAAGTTGTTCCAATAGCGTTCACGAGCGCAGTCAAGGGAAGCGGAATCGGACTGTTGCACGCGCTCCTGGAAAACCTACCGCTGCCACCCACACCAACTGCCCGTGATTATGTCGGTATGGCATTGAACCCAGAGCAGCCAAAGTGCCTCTTCCACATCGACGACACCTTTTCTTTACCGGCATCGTATGGCAGTCTGAACAGTGCTTCCGGAAAGCAGGCCGACCCAGGTATTGTTGTATCGGGCCATCTCAGGTTTGGGCAATTTTCCATCGGGGATAACATCGTTATTGGACCTTTCCCACCCGACGACGATGAGCCTCGGGAGTCAACTCCAGAGGGCAGACAATCGCCGAGTAGTTATGGACTGTCCATATCACACCCTTCATCGGCAGAGTTGGCTCGTATTGCCATGAAGAATGCTATATCTGCGTCGACAATTTCAGGAGAGTGGCATGACGCTCAGATCGTTAGCATACGAAATTTGAGGCTCCCGGTCTCAACTCTTGAAGCTGGGCAGGCCGGATCCATTGGTCTCAGCGTTAGACCACTCTCGAATCGCCCCCAGAACGGCAACACAGACCACGCCGGTATCACTGAGATCCCTCGCATTCGCCGTGGTATGATCTTGGCAATCCCGTCGAAACACATGGCAGACAGTGGGTTAAAGTTGCAAGCTGCAAGTGGATTCACGGCAGTTTTCGAGGATCCAGACATTCAGACACTGGCCGTCGGCTCTTTTGTGAACATATATATTGCTAGCATCCGAACGGTAGCGCGCATTCGTCGCATATCTCGGCAGGACAGCGAATGGGGAGTCAGCAACGAGGGCACAGAGACAGAAGAGATCTTTGATCTTAACGACGAATCTTATACGAACAATGTTAGAGACGAGAGCGACCGGCCCAGAGGCGGCATTGAGATGGGACTAGAGCTTTTGCATCATCGAGAGTGGATCGAGTTGGGTTCACGGGTCATATTGTTAGAAGGCGGGAGTCAGGATAAATCTGGGCTAGAGGGCTTCGTTGGTAACGTCGTTGAGATCGTGGATTAGCGGTTCAAGCGTGTGTAATTTCCCCGGTGCCTTTGTTATCAGCGGCTAGTTTCCCTTATATCGCTATACAGTTGTTGCCTTTACGTATTTAATGATGATTTTGTTTACGGGACGTCGCGTGGTCGTAAAAATGTCTCTTGTCATAACTCCAAAGGCGCCAAAGATACATGCAAACTTCAAATACCGTTCACCTATGCCCTGACCAATCCATAAAATAAAGTCCACGTCAAGACAAAACCTGAGATACCATTGAAGATACCACCAACCCAGAAATCGAAGAGTCCTCGGAAGTATCGCGAGGGATCAAGAGGAGCATGACCCTTGGGAAGTGATTCAGGGGCAACCTTGAGGACGTAGAAGAGGAGAGTGGTGATGAAGGAGAAGACGATATAGACGAGGAAACCGTAATATGACTCGAGGCCGAGGACTCCAGCAGTGACTCCGAAGAGGGAAGCAGTCAGACTGTTTAGGTTGGAAAGAGCCTGCGCGGAAAATGTTAGAGGATAAGTTCTAGGTGAACGATACCAAGGATAGCTGACCTTTGTGTTGTGGATCATAGACTCGGGGACGATTGGACTGATCTGGAGTTCGCGTTCGGAAGGCATCGCTGCGGATATCGATGGGTAGCGATAGCGATAGTTGTAATTGTAGTTGTAGTGGTGGATTTATCGGAGATTATTTCTGAGTAATGACTGACGCGGTGGGCATCTAAAGCTTCGTATCTCGAATGAAGCTATCTACGCGCTGCAGCTTCCATTTGCCTGCCCATGATGACAGCGTGTCGGTCCGTCCTGAGTTCCGAAGGCCGACATTTCAGTGAAGAAGTGGAGTCAGCCAATAATGGTGGAGGGAGCTCCGTCAATGGAAGCTACTGACAGTTGGAAGGACCCCTCCACTGTGATTCCAAATGCACAGTTGCTTGGCGGGGTAATCCTGGGTAGGTACGGGCGGGTATGGTCCATACTGTAGTCGTAGTCTCCATATCTAGCTAAACTGGAACTTCTTTTTAAAGATCCCCAATCTGTAACTTTCGAGCGCTTATTCCTGAGCCGTTACACCAATTCTTCATCACCTACCGAATACTACCAACCACGATGACACAAGACTTCGCGCCTCTCAAGAACGACCTGTTGCTTCGCACAGCATGGGGTGGGTTATCCGCGCCTTAGTTGCTGGAATCATGAGAGAGCTGTGCTGAGACTTGCTGTGTTGCGACTTAGGCCAGACCGTTGAGCGTCCTCCCATGTGGGTTATGCGACAAGGTAAAAAGACACTTGAAACCAAAAACGAAGACACGTCAGATCATCTAACTGGTTCAATTGACAGCTGGTCGCTACCTCCCCGAATATCACGAAGCCAAGGGCAACCGTGACTTTTTCGAATGCTGCCGCGACCCCGAGGTTGCAACAGAAATCACCCTCCAGCCTGTCCGCCGCTTCGCAGGCCTCATCGATGCCGCCATCATCTTCTCCGATATCCTCGTTATCCCTCAGGCCATGGGCATGACTGTTGAGATGGTCGACAAGAAGGGCCCGCACTTCCCTAACCCGCTCAAGAGCCCCGATGACGGACAGTACAGCCAGGTCCTCGCCAAGGACGTCGACGTCGCTGCTGAGTTGGGCTACGTTTATGATGCTATCACACTGACACGCCAGAAGCTCGAGGGCCAGGTGCCCTTGATCGGCTTCTGTGGAGCTCCCTGGACACTGTTCTGTTACATGGTCGAGGGTGGAGGTACCAAGCTGTTCGCGCAGGTCAAGACATGGATCTACAAGTATCCCGAGGAGTCAAAGAAGCTTCTGGCCAAGATCGCTGATATCTGTGTCGAGCATCTGGCTCTACAAGTCAAGGCTGGCGCCCAGGTAAGAAGTCTCGAATGGTATGGAGCACGACAGTGTATCACTAACAATGTTGCTTTCTTAGCTAGTAATGGTCTTCGATTCGTGGGCAGGAGAGCTTGGTCCTTCCTCATACCGTCAGTTTTCTGAGCCTTACCTCAAGCAGATCGCCGAGAAGCTCCCTGCTAAGATTCAGAGCCTGGGTCTGGAGAAGGTGCCCATGACCGTGTTCCCCAAGGGCGCCTGGTACGCACTTGACTCTGCCTGCAACCTGGGATACAACGTCGTTGGCATGGACTGGCTGCACGACCCCAAGGAGGCCGTCAAGATTCGAGGCGACCGCGACATCGTCTTCCAAGGCAACGCTGACCCTGGTGTGCTGTACGGTACCAAGGAGGCCATCACAAAGGCCGTTGAGGAGATGGTCGCCGGCTTCTGGGTCGGAAACAAGGGCTGGATTGCTAACCTTGGACACGGTACGTGATCGACGATATGAAGTCAAGTGAAACGACGGCTAATAATAGCAGGAATTACACCTGGCGTGAACCCTGATCACCTCAAGCACTACTTTGAGGAAATTCACCGTCTTACCAAGAAGAACTAACGGTAGAACGCCACTTCGTTCTATGTTCCGAGTATTATGAGATACCATAGATGTGTGTGGAGGTCATGGGAGTAGACATGAGCTGGATTCAAACCAGGAAAAGGAGAACAGATGACGAAAAATATGTAACATAGTAAAACGGTATGGGCAAAATATTGAAGAAAAGTGGTTCTTTTTGCATATAATTGATTTCGTATGATGGTATCTTCGCGGTCCCTCCTTTTTTTAAGTACTATGTCTATCCTCTGTTCTCTCGTTACTCCATTTTGTCTCATAAGTGGCTTTCCTTAGTAGCCAGAACCCTCTTCGGGTTCAATGTCAAAGGCGCCAAAACACCAGGCTGTGAAAAGAAGCCCATTTCCAATAATAGTGAGAAGATAAAAAAACGCTCGTTACGGGTCAAAACCCGAACGAGTGACAACGAGACTGGCCGAAGCTCTCAAGTTACGCCTTCTTGCCAAAGAGCCAGTTCTTGCCCTTCTGAGCCAATGACTCGCCAGCAGTTGGAGAAGTGGCTGACTGGGGCTCCTCATCATCGGTGATGGCACCTTCGTTGCTGGGCTTTCGGGTAAGCTCTACCTCCTTGTCCTTGAAGATATTTCCAGCGCCGCCTCGGCCAGAGTGCTGAGTGCCGTAAGAAGGACGACGAGGCACACTATTCTCTTGAGTTAGTGAACAAGTTCAAGTAGGTCTCCCCAGAAAGACTGAGGAAAGAGGACGGAACGTACGCTTCAACGTCTTGGCGCTTGCGAGTCTCACGAGGATCGTCGTTCTTGGCCATGTTGCCTGTACCACCACGGCCGGTGGTGACGACGGAGCCCTTTAGGACTGGAGTTTGGAACTTGCTGGGGTCGGTCTTTTCTGTGGTGGCTGAGTCGGCCATGTTGCCAGCGCCGCCTCGGCCGTGAGAAGAAAGCATTTTGGTAGTGATGGTTGTTGAATTGGTGAGAGAGGAAGTGTCGATAACTAGGAGTTGTCCTGATGAGTGGACGGGTGAAGCTAGTATATTGCCTGAGTGAGGGGTTGTAGGATCGATGTGTATCGAAGATTGACCTCGATGAATTACAGTGACAAAGAGTGTATGTATGTAGGTGAATGAAGGAGTAAATAGTCAGAGTACAAATGAATGGATTATTGTAGGCGGCGATGGTGACACTTTTTAACTCAATGCCAAGTCTGTCCTCGTGATGTTGTTATTCGTCCCCTGCCCTGTCTTTTAGTACTAAGGTAGGTACAGTAGAGAGCCCGAAGGATGTGTTCCCATGATCAACAAAACAGGGGAAAGAAAAAAAATTCTATAGGTGCTTGACCACTAACGTACTAAGTCGCCCTTTTTTTCGCCCTCCCACCCACCAACTGCCAGGAACCGCTGCGCCCAGCCAAAGAGGTAAGTTAGGTCCAAGGTAATATCCAATGGCCTAGTCTGGCCAGGCCTTGTGCTCCATGGATCCAATACTGTACGTTAGGCCGGTCCGAAGCTGGGCTGAGAATTTTTAAAGCAAGGTGAGGCGAACCTGTGCAGGTGATCAATCAGCTGGGCGATGGTTGGGCTTGATTTGAAATATCTACCTTCAGATATGCCCTTCAGTCGAGGCTTCATCCCCTCTTTTCAATTACATACCAAAAGCACTTTACTTTCAACCCACCCATGTCTGTTAAAGATGAGGCTCAGTTAAAGCTCGACCAAGTCTAGGACAAGTAGATCCAAGTACCCGAACGCCAGTTCCACTTGGACTCTGCACTAAGAAGCCATGTCCAGTCACGTAAATTTGGTTGCGTAATGAAATTTGATGGTCTCGTGCTGCCCCAGGTCTTGGCAGGATACTTGACATGTACGAAGTCAATACAAGCTTTTTCTTTCTTCTTTTCTGCGTCTTGTATGTGACCTCACTTGAAGCAACAGTTCAACATCATTCGCCCGTCACATATCGACACCTTTGACTTAATATATGACAGGCACGGAAAGGGAAAAGCCTTCATTCATCTGACCAATAATTGCACAAGCGCATATATGCTTTCTTACACAAAGTTGTACAGTATGGTATCTTTGAACCAATAAGGTTAGCCATGAAATCTCACTCATCGACTCAATGGAAAGGTCTTCGGCCAAGTAAACAATAGGTTAGCTTGGCCGAGCTCCCCTCTCCCCTCCCCTCAACTGCCAAGAGAATCGAATCCCAGCAGGAAACTTACAGATCGAAATTCGCTCTCGCCGGGTTCCGAGCACTGGAACTGTTGATGCAATCTGTAGCCGTTTCTGTACTGGCGTGCACCGAGACGGCGGATCGGGTTAAACTGGTAGCTCACAACCAGCCATGGAAAGGATCTGGCACTATCTACTAAGGTTAAGCCCTATGACCGCAAAATATTGTATTGGCTCGTGGTGACCTTGAGGCTTCAGCAGGGTAGGGCTGTCCCATGCTGATCATCGAGACCCTGAAAATAGTGGCTAAGCTTGTCTAAGTGCAATGACGTTTGCTCCATGGACCCCTGCCTCGGGCAATTGCAATTGCAGTATCCGTAATACATATCCAATGGATACCAGGTTGAGATTCCCTTCTCGACGGTTGCCCTCTCAATCCTGTCATGGGACTACAGATCCCTCTTCCACATTTTCACTTTGGCATACAGACATACTGAGGGCAGATCCAAGGCAACACCTGACAATAAAAGATCAATTCCAAACGCCCACGCCGCCATGTCGTCCGTCCTCATCAGTTTGCGTGACATTGCAACCGTGTAGTGTAGCCTGGCCTAAAAGCGGAAAGCCCTCGGTCCCCTTTGTCTAACCATTGACCGATTGGCAATCCATCCTGAATAATAGTCAAAACGAGCCATGCCCTTGTTTCCATCTTTTGCGGGTATAATGTTTATAAACGACTCGAACCTGATAGCTCATTCTTGACACGGTTTCAGCGCCAAGGGATAATTCCCATCACCACCGCCTAGCCTTCATAAGTCCTTTTAATTCTGATCATACATTATCTCATCCTCGCCTTCACCCTTGATGTTTGCATCCTTGCGGATGGGGATCTTGATGCCTTGCAGTGCAAAAGTCTTGCTTAAAGGCGTACTTTCGCACACACCAGGGAACTTCTTGGCAGAATACACGCTGAAGTCCTGGCTGTAGCATGAGGCCAAAATTGGTGCTCGACCTTGGTTGACATTAGCTCCCAAGCCTCCAGGCCCTCCGGGACGTCCGACGTTCACAAATGAGAACCTCAACCTGAACAATCAACATTAGTATGGAAAGTAGCCTTCGCTCAATCGTGGTGTTTCCCAACTTACCGGAAAGTGCCCTCAGTGCGAACGCTCAGATCCTGAAGTACAAACCAGATGCCTGCTTTCTTTTCAGTGTCATTGAGACGGAATGCACTTGCAGCCAAACTTCCAATAAGATTCCGCGTGAACATCCCTTGAGGCTGGCCTCCCACCACAGCCATTCGTGTAAGCGCGGCTTGATCTTGGCCATAACCATTTCGGAAAGAGGCACCCGGTGGCGCAGCGGGGGGATCGGCGTTATAACCACTGTGTCGCGGGTAGAATTGCTGTGGTGGGCCGTAGGAACTGCTTGACGGGTATGATGGTGCTACTCTTGTGTCAGATACCGACATATTTGTGCAATTTATCGTTTCTGGTTTGACTAACCTTGTCCATAGCTTTGTTGCACCGACTGAGGATACTCTTGCCCATATCCAATTCCTTGGCCCTGAGAATAACCAGCATCGCGACTTGGAGGAAGTGCTTGCTGCTGGTAAGAAGGTGTGCCAGGCTCAAGGGTTGAGTAAGAGTAGGTATTTGAGGACGCTATAGCACCTGGCCCGGTGGAAGACCGAACAAGGTTCACTTCTTTGATGCCATCCTTGTCCCAAAGATCAACTGAGAGCACGAACATGCCATGGTCGAGGGTACTGTAGCCATTGCGTTAGTACGGAATCCATTCTCTTGAGATTCTGCATCAGCTGCGACATACTTGTAATCGACCTCCTTTCCCGTCTCGCTGTCTATGATGACGAGACGAACACACGGAGGAGGTGTAATTGGGCGACGGTCCTATGACAGAATTGTGAGAAGAATTCACGAACTTATGGGGGACAAGCAAACGCACTTTATCGCCAAAACCGCACATTCGCGCGCGTATGGGTTGCTGCTGCACATCAAGACTATCGAGCTGGTTTAGCCGAGAAAAAATCGGGGGGACCATGGGTGACATACCTATATTTCAAGCCTGTGCCCTCTTCGATCTTGGAGAATGCTGGTGGTTCGTATTTGGACTTGTCGTGCTGGTCATTGGGAGACGGTTCTGAAGAAGGTGGAGGAGGTTCGTCGTGGCGTGAAGGTGGAGGAGGCGGGTGAGAGCGAGAGTATTGACTCGGATGAGGCTGTTGATACTGAGCTGGAGGGTATGGCGGAAGCTGGGAATGATGGTGGGGTGGCGGAGGAGCGTGGTGTTGATGCGATGGCATCGAGTGAGAAGACGGCGGCGGTGGCGGAGGAGGAGCATGAGAAGAATGATGATGTTGACTTGGTGGTGGCAGAGATGGTGGTGGATGCTGCTGTTGTTGATATGCATGGATTGGTGGTATACTGGAAGGATAGCCAGGGCCAGGCATTCGTTGGGACATGTCGGGCGGATGATAAGAAGAGTTCATTGCAGATTGCGACTTCGGCTGCGACTTCGAAAGCGGTCGACGAAAGCGAGAATAAATGCTAATATATGTCGATACGAGCAAGTGGCTAGATATGTAGTATAGGTAGGTAGGTAGATATGCGAGGAGGATGAATGGGCGATCTTGGGAAGGACGAAGCGAAGAGGAGAGGTTGCGAGGACAAGGCGAGCTATAAGAGTAGCTGCTTCGCTTTGCGTTGCAGTGTGTTCGTTCGGTCGGTCGGTCCCCCTTTCGGTTCGTCCCTAGCAAAACAAAGTAGATAAGTAATAGTAGATGGGTAGATAACTGTAGTATGGATGTAGAGAAAAAAACAAAAAAGCAAGTCCCAACTATATGTAGGTAGGCAGAAAGACACGGTTATGTAAGTGGTGAGGAGAAGCCAGACAAAAGCGCCAAGAGGCGAAGCCACCAAATGGAGAGGCCGACGATTGCGATGTCTTCTGTACAGTGACAGTACGTAATGGTGGAGTACAGTACACGATGTAGGTATAGTAGTAGAAGGTAGTATAGAGGTAGGTATAGGTTGTGATGATGTGAGGTTAGGTTAGGTATAGGTAGTGGAGGTTAGGTGAGTCTGGTAAAATAAGTCAGTCGGTGGAGAACCCAGAGCCCGGCTGAAGGTAAAGTGTAAATGGGGGAGTCTTAGCTCCCAAGTGGCGCGGGCCGGGAGCGCTAAAAAGGGTCTCAATTCCCTCCATCCACTGGGCTGGGCTGGGCTGGGGCAACTAAGACTGGACGACCTGAGTCTCGGACCCGTCAGGTCAGGTCAGGTCAGGTCCATGGAGCTTCTAGGTTAGCAGTTATGGTCGCTGAACTTTGTTCCCCGTCCACGCCACAATGATTTCAGTTTATCCCAAGGCAATGGTTAAGGTATGGAATGAAGGTATTCGGATAGAGATAGCATTTCTAGGCGTCCCCGAGCACTAGACTGTTACTGTACAGAAACACCCGACCCACGATGTCATAGGAGACTTGAGCTAAACGGGGGAAGCCTCCCATGGATGTCAGACAAGAGCCGATCCTAAGCTGAAAAGACGTCAAGAGAGACAGAACCAAGCTAGACACATTAAAAGAAAAGACTGAGACCTTGAGCATGGACTGGGTCTTCGGGGCCTAACTAGCGTGCATCACATCGCATCGCATCATTACAGTACATAACTGTACGTACTACATATGAAGCAGGAAAAAGTCAAGAAAACTGTCAATGTTGCAAGCCACTTGCTGCTGAGCTGAGCTGAGCTGTACTGTAGTGTGCAGTAAGTACTGTATAGTGCATCATGGCTGTCTCACATGCGTAGCACAAGGAGTGCACACCACCATTCGATCCAACTGCCAAGTGTCGAGGTGAGGTGCAATACAGTACAAGTCTTTGCTCAAGACCTTTTGCATTGTATGTATCTCGACTCGGTACAATATCTTTTTCGACTCCCCTTTGTTGGACCCATGTCAACGTTAATTGCGGACCAACTTCGGATGAACTGAACCGAACGAACTACTAACGTACAGGTAGTACAGTACTGGAACTATTGTAATGGGACTACCTGTCTGTACCTATCGATAAGACGCAGATATCCATTTGAGGGTCCAATGTGCTTGGCTAGTAAACTGACAGTTAAAAATCTAATGACGATCAAAACTCAATTAGAACATCAATTGAGGCTTGATTGAACATATTTGGAGTGAAATTGAATGCAACAAGTCTCAATTAAATTATTATCCTGGCAGTTTCACCCGTCAACTCAACAAACACCAAGTGGCTCTGCTCTCGCTCAACACCGCATCGTGTTATCTCTGTGTCTTATAATTGGTGGGCCGGGCCTCAATCCTGCCCTGACCCCGATGGTCGGGCGGTCTGCGTCAGTGAGGTGGTGGTTTAGGTTGCTTTAGTGGTACCTGATTAGAGCTGGAAGCCCCAATCAGGTCTCTTCAGCGTCCATGCTCCTCAACCGACGTTCTGAGCCCCGCCATCATGTTGACGTGAAAGCCCCGCAGTCGGAGTTATTAGCAGTCATCGTGGACAGTAATAAATTCCCCGACTGCTTTTGCATACCTCTGTTTTTACCTAATTCAAACTCAAGTCCATCCTACCTACATACAGAAAACATACTCTGACTACTACCTACCAGGTACCTATAATACCTAGTCCGCCATGGATCTTGTCAACAGGTTGGTCCGCCCCGTTTTGACAGTCGAGCAATCGACATCCCACCAGACCGACGCTGATTGACGTAAAATCCTCTCCAGTCTCGAAGGTCGCCTTCTGTTTGCTGTCCCCAAGAGTGAGTTGATTCCTCCACCTACAAAGATCCTAGCCATGCTAATGCGCATAAAGAGGGTCGCCTCAATGCTGCTACACTTAACCTCCTCGAGGGCGCCGACGTCCAATTCCGCCGCGAGAACCGCCTCGATATTGCCCTTGTCAAGAACCTGCCGATCGCTCTGATCTTCCTTCCCGCCGCCGATATCCCTACCTTTGTTGGCGAGGGTCGTTGTGATCTTGGTATCACTGGATGGGACCAAGTTCAAGAGCACGATGCCTCAGTTCGCGCCTACAACCACCTGCGACGCAGCTCAGTCGACCTAAGCTCCACCGAGGACAAGGTTGCTGGCTCTGACATGGTTATGGAATTGGGCTTTGGTAGCTGCAAGCTCCAGGTTCAGGTCCCCGAGAAGGGCCAGTACAAGACCCCTGAGGACCTTATTGGCAAGACCATCGGAACCAGCTTCGTTAACCTCGCTGCCGACTACTTCCTCAAGCTTGAGCAGGGCAATGTTGCTGATGGCGAGGTGTCACCCCGCAAGATGCGCACAAAGATTGTTGAGCTGAGCGGTAGTGTCGAGGCTGCCTGTGCTCTTGGTGTTGCTGAGGGTATTGTCGATCTTGTTGGTACGTGACTGGCATCGGTTATGCCTCGCTGTTTGAAAGAACACAATGACTAACAAAGAACCCCCTAGAATCTGGAGAGACGATGCGAGCTGCTGGCCTCAAGGCCATTGACACTGTTGTCGACTCTACTGCTGTGCTCATCAAGTCGAAATCGCCCTCCAACCCCGAGCTTATCGACCTCATCACTTCGCGCATCCGAGGTGTTATTACCGCAAAGAGCTACGTTCTTTGCCAGTACAACGTCGAGCGAAGCCGTCTGGCCGAGGCGACTCAGATCACTCCTGGGAAGCGCTCGGCAACAGTTACAACTCTCGACGAGGAGGGCTGGGTTGCTGTGAGCTCCATGGTTGAAAAGAAGAAGATCGCCCTAGTTATGGACAACTTGACCCGAATTGGCGCTGAAGATATCCTTGTGCTGGATATTCACAACGCACGATAGATGAAGACGATTTCAACTGGACCATTGTATCGGGATAGAGATGAAGGCGTTGGAATGCATGCATAGGTCGGTACCGGTTGGCGGGGGACTCATATTGGCAAACGGCGCTCTGGAAATCAACGGCTGGGTGATATGATATGATATGCTCTAGATTAAGTCAAAAAGAGAGGGAATGAATGACAAGGTATGGCTGCATGTAAGAGCCGTTTTACTTTTGTTGTAATGAGATATCCCTATCGGAACTTTATGAAACCCTTCTTTTCGTCTTCTTTCTAGCCTTGTTCTGTTCTTCTCCTTCTCAGTGTAGATCATGGAGCTGTACCCGCTTGGGCTTGAGATCGGCGCTGCATACGTCGTGTTGCAATGAGGCTGATTGCTGTGAAATGGTGGCTTGGGCGGAGCTGAGAGCGAAAGCGAGGTAGTTTAGCATGGAATTGCATGGCTGAGCAAGCTGATGGTGTACTGTAGCTGGCGCGTTCTTTTTCGGTTTTAGAAGTTCTATTTCACGGTACAGAGTTTCTTAATGGCAGATTCAGGAACAGAATGTCTGTGGTTGGAGGCTAATAACTTAGTGCAGTGCAGTGAAGTTAGAGGGGCTTATGACGATCGGGAGGCTCGGGTCTGGAATTGGAATTGAACCAGGCGATGACCTCACTAGGGCGGCTACGTAACTACTGTACAGTATCCGTACCTACTAACAGTACCCTCAGCTCATCAGATGGATCTTTCTTCACTCATTTATGCACAAATGCCTAGTCAATGTACAGTAGACCAGCAAGAGTATCTCTTCTGTACAGGCAGGCTTTTGTTTGAATTCTAATAAATGCACCGCTGAACAAAGATATCATCGACGCTCGCTATATTTCACTTCATCATACTCACATCTAACAATCATGGCCAAGATTGGCTCTCCACCTGAAAATGCTGGTAACGGTAACCAGCCTTCAACTCTATACTCTGTGGGTCTTTTCCATTGTCAAGGCATCTCTTGAGGTTCTGCTACAGCAAGCAAGAGATGAGTGGAATGAAATGAAACGAAATGATGCTAACACGGATACCATCTAGCTCGTCATGACACCCATCAACATCACGGTCTTCCTCGTCTCGCTTCTCCTGGTCGATTTCCGTCACACTGCCGGTCGCAATAATTTCTACGCCACAGGCAGTGAACAGGCGAGATGGATGCCTCAATGGCTCCTCCAGCCGTATCATCATATCGGGCACAAGGATCACGATGCCCATGGTCGCTGGCATTATCACAGCAAGCAGAAGAAGCTTATGAAGATGGAAGCAGACGAGGCCTTTCAGATGAGGTCTACCGTACTGGTTTTCCTGGCTGTGGCTCTGGCTCTGGCCACAAGCGCCGTCTGGCTCTTGACGAGAAGTCTGTATCATGGCGTTGCTGCTCTCGTTGAGCATCAAGTCGACAATCAAACGGCCCCGCCTCCAGGATTGTGAACCGTCGACCGGCTAACTATCCGCCCGTCTGTGACGGAGCCGAGTAGGCCAAGAAACAAGCGATCCGTTCCCTGCGTTTCGTGGGGTGCCATTGAATCACACATGGCACGTTGGCCCTGTATACAATTTTCATGCCGTCCGACCGCCCGTGGCATGCATCACTATCGAATCTTGGACGAGCATTTTGCTGTATTCTTTTGCCTCAGCAGACTTGAGACTGAAACCTGCTTGCATCATAGCCACGATCGAGATCATTTTACGACTACAATAGAGTTACATGACGAGGCACTGACTTTTGGAGTGTCGATCAAAAGTGGCATCATACTTACAATACTGTACAATACAGTACACGTCGAAATCGAAATCGACGCGAGTTATTCAGGGGTCTTTGTGGGCCGTGACCTGCGTTTCGCACCCCTGCATATCCGTCACAAGAGAACAGCAACAATAATGATTATGAAACCGGACATTTTAGTCCTCCAACATGAAAAGACGCAGCAAAAGTTTGATGAGTTCTGAATCTGAATCTGGAATTGAAGTTTGGCAAGACTGTTTATCTAGATGCCATATCGAAAAGTAACTCGGCAAGAATTGAATAATGACCAAACCAAACCATATACACCATACAAACGCCTGTCCTCATAAATTCCCTCTCAATCCTTAAACGTAGAAACCATTAGAATGTGACCCCTTGTGTTGAGTCATACGAAACTATCCCATACGCTCCTCCACACTGCCCCAGTAGACGATGGGCCTGGGCTCAAGGAGACTCAGCTCGCTCCCGAAGCTCTTGCGTTCAGCTTCCAGGTTCAGCAGAGAAGGCTGACGAGAGATGATGCTGTTGATTGTGACAGCAGCAGATGAGCTCGTAGTGTTGGTGGACGAGTAAGAGGCTTGCGTGGAAGTTGAAGCCGATGAGCTGCGGCGCAAAGAGTTGCGCAGACGAGAGGGAGAGAAGCGAGAAGCCATGGTTTCGAAGCGAGAGTTTTGAACCATTTTTGCGGTGGTGATTTTTTTGATATCGAGTTCAGATTCAGATGTTCAAATGCGTATTAGACGTGATAGTAGTAATAATGATCGTAACAGTTTGTCGTAGTCGTGTAAAGAAGCCCAACTTGTCCAGCAGTTGGCGTATAGGTAAGATTCTGAAAGAGTGAACGAGTGTAGATGATAAGAAAACAGAGGCACAGCCTTTTGTATATTCCTATCGAGGACTCTTAAACGAGTGGTAGGGAGGTGTTTCCTTGAATGAATACAAAGATAGACAGAGTCAGAGTCACAAACAAAGAGCAAGATGTCGTGTCTTTTATCTATTAGTTTGACAACCGGCACGAGACCCAGAAAAAGATCAACCTGGACGACCGTCCTTGTCGTTTTGTGTCAGGATTGCCAAGCGAACGGCGACCCAGACCAGGGACTGACTGTAAGTGTACGGATACCCTCGCACGGATGGTTTCAACGCTGTGACTAGCGGCTGAAACGGTTGCTCCGCTCATAATGTATGTACTGCAGAGGATCCTTTGTCGCAGGCAGATACACTCTTCTGGTCGATCAAACAGGTTATTGCGCATCGTGGCACGGACTGCGCAGATACCGTCTTGTCCCTTCTGTGCATGTGCATGAAAAAACTACTCCAGTAGCACTTGTACTTACCCAGTAAATGTCTATTTTTGATCGACAAACCGTTGTATGTACCCAGGGACACCCTGCTAGGTCTCCTTTTAACTCTAAGCCTCTAACACTGACTGACCTGCAACGCCGTACACTACCCAGCTTTGAATCATGCCATGAGATAAGTCCATCGTCCTGAATATGACTTCCATTTAATGCATTACCACATTGTTTCATCATTTTCAATAAAGTAGAAAAACGCCGTCCAGTATTCTCATCCCATCTTGGTTTAGGGTTAGTTATCCCATCCCTCCCCTCTCGTTTCCACCCCTTAAACTCCTCTTCAGTGGAAGCTGTCGTGGCCATCTGTGGGCCTGTTCTCTGTCCGCCTGACTGTAGCGCTTCGGCGAATACTTTCGCCCCATATCGAATCATCAAGCATTCCTCGGACCTGCACAGGGCTAATTGGGTCCAGATGATTGCTTTCCCGACCCGTGGGTGCTGGTGCTGCCGCTTGCGTGGTGGCTTGCTGAGAGTCGTGAGGGTCGTCCTCTTCAATCTCAAAGCTGAAAGCCGAAGGCTGTGCAGGTGTTGTTGGCGATGGAGGTGCAGCTCTAGGGAAGCTGAGAGGGTGAATCCATGATGTATCATGCAACGACAGATCCACAGATCCCAGCCAGTTGCGTGGCTCTCCAGCGTCGACGCTCGACGGGCGAGAGGCTGGTGAAAGGGGAGATCTTGGTGCTGCCCCGCCAGTCCCATCGTCACTTAAATCGTTCTCAACCATGATCTCTGGGATATTCAGTTGTGGCACAGCCGTCATGCGTGCCGATTGCTTGCGCATCATATGCTTCTTAAATTGCCGTGTGTAATATCTGTAGTCGCGTAAGTGGTTTACTGGGTATTTTGAGGCTCAGATCTGGCAACTTACAAAGTGTCAAAGAAGCCCAAGACCACACCGCGTTGGACTTGGTCATCTACTCGCTGAAGACGTGCTCGCCGTCTCAGAAATTCCTCAAGCCTGCGCTTCCAGTTAGGACATATGACAAGGCGAAAGTCTAGGTTCAAAGGCTTACCTCAAGCTCTTGTTATCGCTGATGATGTTATAGTGAGCCAGAATCATCAATACACTCGTGAAAGAGATGCCCCTATCCGGATCTGCAGACACCAAAACTTCTTCGTAAAAAGTGTTGAATCGTCGACGCTGATGGCGAACCTTTTCCGAATCGATGCGCCTTAACCGTGCGTTGAGTTTGTTCAAGTCGATCCCACTGAACCCACTGGTTGTTGCAATCGATGAATGGTGTGTTAGTTTCACGTCGTCCCGGATATCTTCCAAGATCGAGTGAACGCTGTCCTCGGGGTCATAGATACGCATTTGAAAAACGCCGGATAGCTCACCCAGTAGCCGAGGGAAAGCTTCCTTGGTGATGTATCCGGTGCCAGCTGGATCCACGCTACGCCAGGCTTCCTTGAAGCGCCGTATCTCATCTCTGTCCACAACTGCCATGCCGCTCGAGCGTTGAAAGACATAACTGAAGCTCTCGTAAATGAGCGATACAAACAGATTCACAAAGATATACATGCTGACGATGTTCCACGCAACAAAAAGAATTCTTGCCCATGATTTGCTGCCACAATCACTGTCGAAGAACCTATCTTCGTCAACGCAAAGTGGTGGTTCGATGCCGGCGTAGTCTTCCATGATTCCATTCCATCCCTCACCAAGACTCATCCTGTACAAGAGGATTAGAGCTTTGGGTACGGTTCTGAAATTCATGTTCCCATCTGTCTCTTCGCCGAACCGTGTCAAGCTGAAAGCTTGAGTCATTGCAATGGCAAAGACAAGGAAGAATACCAGCCAGGTCGCGAGCAAATTACCAATAACCGTCAGACTTGCTGCGGCCGTCTTGAACAGTTGGTCTAGCGCGTCGTTGCGGGGAATAAGCAATAGCACGATCGCTACCAAGAAAACTTTGTGAAGCTGGACGTATGCTTCTAGCTCGGTATCCGAAATCAGGAGTGCAAAGGTCGAAACGAATGCGCCAAAAACAATGAAAAGCGAATAGAGATCCCATGAGCTTCGTCTGAACCGGACCCAACCTAGGCCAATGATACGAATCGCGATGTTGACGACGTAGGCCACAATGAAAGCGAAGAAAACAAAGTCGCGATATCTCGTCCACCATAACGGCTCGTCCGCAAACTCTGAAACAAGAACAAGCAAGTGTAGTACCAGAATGCCAGTAATTGTTCGATACCACTTGCCCTTCTTCTCGATGGCCCTCTTGTGGCACCACTTCTTCCAGCTCTTTGAATCATCATATGAACTCTTTGAGGGCGAGATCTGACGAAGGACTTTTCGTAACTCAAGCCATGATCGCTGCTCCGCTGTCAGGAATGCCACGCCTGTCTGCTCAGTATAGTTACGCATGAACACCGAGATGAACAGCGTAAGAACGAAGACGGTTGCCAACAGATTGAAGATAACAATGAAAACAGCATTGCCTTGCGAGGCCAAATCCTCAGGCTGCTTCATTCGGCCAGTTATGGCCTGGACACCAAAGGATACATCTGTCCATCCTTCCTGACTAACAATCTGGAAGAGAATGAACAAAGACGAGCCAAAATCGTCGAAACTGAAGAAAGGGTTCTCGGCAACACGGGGGGCAAGCATTGGCCAATCATCACTGAACGGCGTGCTCTCAAACTCGCCATAGCAGTTGCCCATAGTCTTGATTCCGTCGCCGCCGTCGTTGCAAGATAACAGCAGGCCATTGAATAGATTAAGACCATAAATAGCAGCTGGGATGAGCAAGGATAAAGAAACGAACGCAGCCTGAAAAGTGGAATTAGTAATGAGCAGTAAACGGGGGGATAATAACTTACACCCAAAATCTTCCACCAACCAACAATAATGAGGTCGTGGAAGGTGTTTCGAGCACTGTTGCTCACATTAAGCAAACGAAGAGCACGAAGAGCCTTGAATGCACCAATCGCTCTTGAAATAGCACCATCATTGATGAGAAGCGTAACGACATTGATCCAAAGGGTCACTAATACAACAGAGTCCATGAACCCCCAAGAACTGCGCAAAAACGCATTCGGTGTCCACAAGAGTCCGTCGGCAATGATTTTAATACCAGCTTCTACAGTGAAAACAACTGCGAAGGCCATATCAGTCCAGATGTACCAATTCCTAATACTGAACGCATGCTGTTCTTGATATTCCTTCTGATAGAGAGGAGTGGTAACGCATGCGAGGATGACCATGGCCGCAATCGCGGTATAGATGAAGATGGTAAAACAATACCAGAGGACAGTATCAGGTACCACGCCATCGATTCGTTCTATGCCACGAGAAGGGCCAACGAGCCGTTGGCAAAGTCGTCGCAAGCTGTTATTGGGTGTGAAGATGTACAACGAATTATTATAGTTGGGATACTTGGCAAGATACTCTCGCTGCGCCCTTCTTCGGCTCATCGTGGCAGACATGGCCTGCTCGGCCATTTGTCGGGGGTCCGAGGTCTCGTTCGCACCATCAAATCGTAGGCTTGAATAAAACGGATTGGGTTCTCTATCGCTGAACCATTGTTTGATCCTCCCCCAGAGAGCGGAAATACGCCCTGGCTTGATTTCTCCTCCCAGAAGTGTGGTTGCACTTCTTATAGGTGCATGATGTTCTGGCTTTGGGTTCATCTGGTCATCCAGAAACTCGCGGACTACTGCATCCTTGAGGAGCATCTCAACCGTTGCAGGCCCATAGTCTAAAGGGTCTTTATTCTTGCGGTGTTTCGAGAACCCAAAGATAGTAGATAGTGCCAGATTGCTGGAAGAAGCACCAAGATCTCGCCTCTGAAGGAAAGCCTTGACTTGCTGCAGCCGCTTCTCATCCTCAGACACATCAAAATTCTCTTGGATGACAGCAATGAACATGTTGACGAGAATAAAATAAGCGACAATAAACCAACTGATCAGGAGAGTGGCTCCAATCCAGGCAGTGTTTTTATGTCGTGTGTAGGAAGTGACATTATAGAGAATGTCTGTCCAGTTCTCACTCGTCAAAACTTGGTACATGCCAAGGAACGAGTTATAAATGGTGAAGAACGAGATGCGATTGAGGTCACCATCATTGTACATGGGTATCTGACCCCTGAATAATTGTGCAGCAAAGATCGCCACCAAAAAGGTCATGAGAAAGACAAAGAACATGAGATTCCCAATACCAGCAGCATTTCCAACAACAAGGAGAATGAGCTCCCGTGTCACGGGTATTGCCATGACAATTCGGTAAGCTCGAAGGATTTGGAAGACTGTCAACCACCAGTATGCTCTGGTGTGTCGGATGGGAGGTATCAATATAATGGAGGTAATGATTGCGAGTCCAAGATCAAAAATATTCCGCCAGCTTTTGTGAAAATGATTCCAGTCAGTGGCAAACCGAATGATCATTTCGATATCGAGGAGAATTGTTACGATTATTTCTGCCGTGTCGATGAAGCGTGCTCGACTCGGCGACATAGATGCACTACGACAAGCCTGGCATATAAGCCCAAATGTGATGATAAGAATCCAGACAGCCCTGGTCTTGTGGTAGACACGCTGTAGAGATGATGTGCGACGAAGTCTTTCATCAACACGAGATTGCACGGGTGGTTCTTCGCTGATCGTGAACGCACTCGCCTTACTCTCTTCTCGGATGACTTGGAAGGATGAAGTGATGACGGCGATAAGTAAGTTTGTCAGCCAAAGCATCATGATCATGGTTCCTGCGCCGAAGAAGAGTGCAGCTTGGAAATAGTCCGAGCGCATCGTCATATACATCAGATCGGTAAAAGTATTGGCGCTCATGATAATGAACACTAGTTCCAGGGAGTTGAAAATGTTGTCAAAGTTAACAGTCCCGTTGTGTGGATTGCTCTGTTGAAGGCAAATGGAACCTCGAGGGCATAGAAATCCCTTCCCTTCTTTGGTTCCGTTCATGAGATCGGTTAAGGAGTCCGAGGTATTGAACTTGACCCAAGGCATGGTATCACCTGTGAGGTTGTTCAAATAACCACCACAGAAACCTTCATCATGTGTGAAGGAAGCATCCAGATTTGTAGGATCAAGCGGGTCTAGCCAAACACATTGCCGACTCAGACTGGCTTTGAAACTTTGCACGCCGATGATGGCAAAGAGCAACCAGAAAAACGAGATGAGAAAGGCAACACGTACAAGTAAAGGTGTCGCTTTCTTTAAACTTCGGAGAATAATCTGAAACTTGTAAGCTTATTTCCATCCATCTCACAGAGCGCGATGTACTTACTGCGGTACCATTTGTCAACGCTAGCAATCTCAAGATTCGCAAGCAGCTCAACATCCTGAATGCATACAAGTCATGTTTCGTTTCAAGTCCAGAAACGCTCAAGCAGAAAGTAATCCAATACGAGACGACAGCAACGAAGTCGAAACGGTTAAAGGAGTGTCGTAGAAATGCCCTGCGAGCAAGTTGGAACCTCTGGTGTTCTTCTAGGGTTCTTGGTAAGGCCTGCTGACCTTGCATAAAGGTCGTGAAGGAACGAGAAATTGCCGATGGTTCGGGATTGTATTGCGACGCCTTTTTTACCGATTTCATTCGTTCTGGCTGAAAGACTGCACGATACTGATCCGCAATGGCCGCGCGAATTCCACGTTTGCGATCGATCGTGCTGTACTCTGCAGCATTAAGTACAAACCCAGACACTATGACGCGCGATATGATCTCGAGAGTAAAGATGATGAAGAGCGCAAGCATGGCCCAGTCAATGGGGTGCTTGCCCCAACGGTCAGGGCGACCTGTTTCGAACACATTTGGGGCAGATTCAACAGCAAGGAGGATTGCCTGTAGGACAATCAAGAGCAACAGGAACGGCTCGGTATATGGATTGACCAAGAGATCGCAAAGACGCAACCGTAGAGGGTTGTTTGGTGAGAAGATCCCTAGGGACTTTCCTTTCAACGGGTTTGGTAGAGGTGGCCTTGGTAGCTCTGTTTCTGTAGCTTCGCTTACATTAAGGCGCGGTCCTGTGGACTTCTCGCTGGAGGAACGACCCAATTGTGGCTGGTACGAAGTATCGGCGAATAACGAGTTAACGGTATCCCGGTTCCTGTCTTGGCTATGCCCAACAGGCGAACGTGAGCGATGCCTAGACGCCCTATGATCAACAACCTCGGTTTCTCCACTGATATTGACCACACGCTGTGACATTGCCCGCACTATAGATCCCGCGCGCGACAAGGCACCCGACGTAGAAGGCGATCTGGACCTTCTGTACTCATTCGGGTTGAGAGATGCGCCAAGATTGCGATTTCGAGTAGATCCATAACTGGCTCTCAAATCCTCACCCAAACTTCTTGTGCTGCGACCGCGCGTAGGGCTATTCTCTGAGCTCGTTACCGTCTGAAAACTATCTCGATTTCGGTTGTCCAAGTTGTTGGTGGATAAGGACCGGGAGATGGGCTCAGCACCAGCTGTCAACGGCACCCTATCGGATTCGGCGTAATCTGTACTCGGCGCATCTTCGACGTATGGAGCAGGAGGATCGTAGGTTCGAACTGGCGTCGAGGGCAGTGGTGGACTTGGTTGGTGACGGTCCATGCCGGGGGGTAAAGCAGCTTGCAGAGCCATAGGATCTATGGGAGACCCTGGGCCAATATCGTCGTTAAAGTGATCATAAGGCTGGTCCCAGTATGTCGAGATACCAGGAGCGTTGGCAGACATCTGAGGAGTATCGGAAGGAGAAGGCGAACCCCTCCGCCGGTGGAAAAGGCCGGCCTGGGTTTCTTGGTTGTCGACGTGCGATCCATCCATATTCTGAAGAGGGATGGACGGGCGCCGCGCAGGGCGCCCGTCTTGATCCCAAGAGTTCGAAGACATGGACCAACGAACGGGGATTGATAATCGCCAATAAGGTCCGATGTCAAGAAGGACTGGGTTTATGAGGGCAGTCGCCGCAATCGAGCATCCTCAATGCTTCAAAAAGTGAGCAGCGTTTATACTATGAATAGTTTATATTGGAAAGAGAAGAGGTAGCCAGTCCGCTGCATCCTTCCCACTTCTCAGGAGTGCTGAGAGCTCAAGGACACCGGGATGTGACAGTACAGCCGCTCTAACGCACTGTACATACAGCGGTTTCCATGTGTAACTCTGTGGTGGAATACTGTCCTGTGCTGCTTTTTATAGAACTAAGTTCTGCTACAGTGTGGAGAACCGAAGTCCCCTGAAGTGAATGTCGTAAGCTGCATTTGAACCTTACAAAAGGCATGTGGTTGTGGCTGACTGCGCCACATTTAATCCTTTCGCGACCTCGAAAACGCCCTAAACACGCTTCTGTCATTTGTGACGCGACTGAATATCGTCCTTACATCGATATCACAGATTCCCACCATGCCGTCTCGAAAACGCTCGCTCGCAGTTGCTGATGGAGAAGATGGCGAGAACCAAATTTCCTTACAGCATCGAATTCGAAATATGTGGCAGTTTGCGAATCTTTGCCAATGGATCTATATCTTTGGCAAAGCTGCGAAAATCGATGAAGCCATCGATGTCGAGGTAAGGCCATACATAGATGAGAGCCCAGGGCTTCACTCTTCTATACCTATTAATGCTTACTTTACTCGCAGGAAATCGAGGCCGAGTGCCTGAAACCAAATTCGACTATGCTAACGGATATTGCCCTTGCCCTTCTCAAACTCGTATCGTCGCATCGTGGTTTAACGTATGTTTCCGTGAGCTGGCAGGGAAAGCGTTTTACTGACGGCCATAGGCACGAAATCTTTGACGATCAAGCGCGCAAGCAATTTGCAAACAGATCGCCGAATTACAACCCTTTCGGTTCTGCCGAGGCACCACTGAAGTTCAACGATTTCGATGTTTTTACAAAGGTCGGTTCTTTTGTCCAAGACTCGCGCGCATGAGAATGGGAGACTTACATACAATGCCTCAGATTAAAGTGATGCAACAACTGACCCAATGGGTAATGATCCACCCGGAGCGCATTCGAGACAAAATGGAAGAGCAAAAAGACGCCGAGCAAACAAGTTGGGTAAGTGCAATCCGACGGAATCCCCCAATGTTAACTAACATTCGTGTAGCGAATAGAGCCATACGGCTGGGATGCAGACGATCGAACGTACTTTGTGCTCGATGATAACCGAATATACCGCCTTACCGAAGCCCCAGCATCCAATAAACCAACCAAACCCAAAAAGTCAAGAGTGTCTTATGGAAACCGACGTGCAAGTAAACGACGACGCAGTACTATGAATGCTGAGGACGAAGCGACCGAACTAGACCCAGAGACAAGCAATGAGTCACCAATTGAAGACGACGGCCTCGGCGGAATGACATGGGAATGTCTTGCTGTAACTTTGGACGACGTACGAGCCATTGTTGAAGGTTTTCGGAAGACACGCGATGAGAATGAGAAGATTCTACGGAACCAACTAGAGGAACATCTCGTTCCAATCTTGGAAAAGCAAGAACAATCACGACAGCGAAGGGAATTACAGAGAGAGCGCGAATTGGCAAATGCAGTCAAGATGGCGAACGCAAAGCGATCAAGCCGAATTGCTGGAAAGGTCGAACAACAAAAACATGACCAACAAAGTCGAGAAGAGGAACGACAACGGCGAGAAGAAGAATCAACTCGGCAGCGAGAAGAGCTGGCGCAAGCCAAGATGGAACAGGAGCGCGATAAACGGATGGTCTCACGGGAACAACGATTACGAGAACGCGAGGCGCGGCGAATCCAGCACGAGGAAGAACTTGCCCAACTCTCTGAGGATAGCAAGAACCTTTCTAACAGCAATGGGCGAGCTTCCGAACGCCGTCTCAAAGTAGAGATCGAGAGAAACAAACAAGCTTTGAAAGAGCTAGAAGATGAGGAGGAAGACTGGATCTTTGACTGCATTTGCGGTCTCCATGGCCAAGTCGACGACGGTGCTCACAGCGTAGCTTGCGAAAGATGCAATGTCTGGCAGCACAGCAAGTGTATGGGACTAAGTGAAGAAGCCGCCGATCAGCCGGAATTTCACTACATCTGTACTTCCTGTACCCGTCGTGAGCAAGAAGCCAAACGGCCCCGACCAACAATCAAATTGAAACTCAACCGCCCATCCAGTTCAGGCACACAGTCAGACGCATCTCGATCTTTGGGTCACACCAGTTCGCCTATCAATGGGGAAGAGTCTAAGAATGCCAACCAGGCACCAGATGAAACCCACAACACGATCAACAATAACGTTGAAGATGGCTTGACCTCATCGACTTCTGCCCCTAGTACTAGTGTCAATGGCGCCGGTATCTCTGATACTATGACTGACGCTGATGCCCGTTCAGGGCCAAGCAAGGGGCTGATTGGCACACCCAAAATGACACCGGTGATCCCGGCACCTGTCAAGCTGGATGCTAGCTTTCAGGGCAGCTCATCAGGCAGTGCGGCTATGACCAGTCCAATGACGTCTTTCCGGACACCCAGCCCTTGCAAAGGCATCGACAGTTTCCAAGGGGACAAGACAGTTGAGTCAGCGTTGAGTACACCCCAAATTAGTCGAGAGATCTACCGAGCAGCACACGAGCAGAATGGCACTATCCCTTCTATTGCTGGGCTTTCTCCGACCAAACACTCGCCCACTCGTCCTATGGATTCTTCCAAGTCAAACCGATTCAAGGCTGCCACTCCAATACTACCTCCAGTAGCATTATCACCATCTCCACAGCATCAGATTTTGACACCGCCTACCAAACACTCGGAGCCACCAAAACCGTTCGAAAACCGATGAGAACCCCAAACACAGAAATTTGGTAAGGCAAGAAAGTTGCAAAACGCCACAGCTGCATCAACAAGTTCCCTAAGCTTCATTTAGGCATGACATGGATGTTTTTTTTTTAGCGCTATTAACAGCATTGCTATTTCAGCCAATACCAGGCACACATTAACGAGAAAAATCGAGCTCTTGCTCTTATTGGGAAGACGTGTTGTATTGACAGCAATCACTTGTCATGGGGTCTCAGACGAGATGTTGGCCCAAGCACGACAAAATAAGACTTAACCTTATCTGTACGAATTCTAATGTCGACCTCAGGATTAGACTAGGCAATTGAGCAACCAACAGGGGTTTTGGTTGAGCACATTGCAGTAACGCGAGACGCGAATGGCCGAACCTATTCCGAAAATAGGGTGTCTACCAGCAATGCCATGTAAATATGGATGGTGTGGTCAGGAACAAATGGTCAAAGCTTTGGAGAAAAAGAGGCATGTTTCTTTTTTGGACGTCAGGGCAGAACAGAAACAGTCCTAACAGAAGAGAATGATCTACCGAAACAGGACCAACAGACCAGGCTAGGACAGGGATTGATGAGGCTGGGCAAGTTATGGACTGTTTGGTTGGTCAGATGCTCGGTTACCGCGACATAAAACAGACGTTTACCAGCAGACCAGCAAGGCCGTGAATGGCTGTGTGGTCCCAGCTATCCGGCACTTGGAGCAAACATACATGCATACTGCAGCCCCCCATTCAACAAGCTTGGAGGTAGGTAGCAGCACAAGACAAGAACAAACCAAACAAGGAAGACAAAACAGCGATGCATCGGGCAGGGATTGTAAGATAACCAGAGCAGATAATGTGCCTTGATGGATAAGCAAGAGAGCCAGCCGTATGAATAATATACCACGAGTCGAAAACAGTCAGACGGACTATCTACCTACAGTATCAGCATGACTGCCCATCTTTATCAAACATGTCAGAGGTTAAGTTGGGATGACAGTTGACAGAGGTGGGGGCCCCCGGATGTGTATGTCAAAGGAATGCGCCATGGCTGAACTAGCGGCATGCAAATAGAGCGGCGCAGGGAAGCACAATCGAAAGTATGACATTCTGGTTCTATTGAATGAATTGCGGCTGGACGCCAAGCGGGCCTATCTCTTAAACCCATAGGGCTTCTATTCTGACCGTGCTTCTTCAATCTGGCCCGGACGTTGTGTGGTGGATGGATGGTTGGCCAACGACATATCAAGATGCAGCTTGGAGAGGTCAATCCCCTTGGGCAACGGTGCGCATTGCGGTATGTTTCCAGGAATGACTGTTGTCTTCTCCGCTTGCCTTTGAATCAAGACGTTGCTTGTCTATTTGTGGGCATGGTCCTGGCGCTGTAGACAAGTCTAGGGTATCATAATGTTCCCTGATGTGATGTGCATACAAAACCACACGCGGCAGCTCTCAAAGAAACCCAACAAAGGACTTTACTGGGTATTCAATCTTCAGACCGAATAAGACCAACATAGATACTGTCAAAAGACAGAATTGAACTCTCCATCTACATTGTGCTTCATTGCGAGATTCATGATATCTTCTTCCGCCTTGGCTAATATCAACTTCGCGGATTTGGAACTCACTACTTTGACCTTGCTGTAACAGCTTTAACCCTGGTCGACATCGCAACCAGTGGAAGAAGGCTTACGACATGCAACAACACATACTTCCAACGCCGCCATCGTCCTCTGACGGCTTCTCCCAACAACCGACGTCCACGATGGACTCACATATCTCGCACCCTCAAGGCACCATGAGCCCCGAGCAAAGTTTCGCTGGCTACTCCTATGCCACACGATATTCTACTCCCATCCGCGAGGACGACTCTTCAGTATACGAGCCATCTACAGTTTACTCGCAAAGAAGCGATGCTTCGTTTGTAAGTCTAACATGTCTCGATGGCTATAGCCAAACTGACCTTGGACGACTTAAGACAGGTTATGGAGGCCTGGGTATCACCAGCCACCCATATGGACCCTTGCCTGATGAAGTTGGCTACAGCGTAAGTCATAGAAGCAAATCGCAATAGACATGTCACTGACTTGGCAGACTCATCTACCATACACTCCTGAAGCATCACCCCCAGCGCCCTGCTCAACCAGTGATGCTATCACAACCCGTAGTGGACTTAGCATCGCGAAGAAGCCACTCACAGCCAAGTCGCCAGCAGTAAGGAGTGGTCGAGTGCAGAAGAAAAGTCGCGCCGAGAAGGCCAACACCGCGAGCAATCTGGTTTCAGGGCCCCTTTCCGAAGCTGCTAAGAGCCACCCCAACATCCACGTTGCTGACATAGAGACCTTTGTCAATCGTTCTAGCGAAGAAAGACTCTCCGAAACTTCGAGCAACAAGAAAGAAGGTCAGATCAAGCGTCCCATGAACGCCTTTATGCTGTACCGCAAGGCATACCAGGAAGTAGCCAAGGAAGAGTGCTCTCAAAACAACCATCAACACGTGTCAAAAGTCTGCGGTGCCGGATGGCGCATAGAGCCCCCTCACATCAAAGAGGCATTCGACCAGTGGGCTAGGGTTGAACGAGTGAATCATCAGCGAGCACACCCTGGATACAAGTTCACGCCTTCGAAGCCAAGAAAAGTCAGACGTGACGGAGATGTCGACGATGAGTACTCGGACAACGACTCAGACTGGAACAGCGGGCGCGGGCTTTCCAGTGCAGCGCGCAGGTCTAGATACCGACATGCTACACGACTGAGTGAAGCCTCTTCTACTGCCTATGATGCTGTTGGTAACTCGATGGTTGATCCGTCGATGGCACCCTACCACGACATGCACGCCTACACATCTCATGTTCGACCTTCTGTCTTGCCATATGATCAGATGGCGCCGAATCAATACGAGATATCCATGCGCCAGTACAACGGTTTGAATATCAGCAATGAGCTGGGCAGCAGAGCCACTTCACCTGGAGAGTTCAATTATTCGACCCATGGCTTGGACGGGTTCACCCATGACTATTATGGTGCTGCCGTGTCAACCTATGATAATGCCGTAGCTCCCCTGTTCGTACCAGGTCCTCCATACGAGACGTATGAAGGAATCCACACAGGAGCTCCCTTGGGACAAGAAGGCTGGATTATGGAGAGTGACCATGACCTGATACCCGTGATGGGTGGTTACGAAGACACCACAGCGCAAGACGCTTACCTCAAGGGCAACAAAGATGACTGGAAAGTTGAAGTGATGGACGAGCCCGGTCACTTTGAAGATTGGTATGCGCAGACTGAACAGGGTCTTTAGTGATTTTCCTTGAGCGACTTTCGTAAAAACATTTCCTTGAGTGTTGGGCAGGCGATTCTGGGGATGATACCTAGGGACAATCAATGTATTGAGCGAGTTCGTTATCTTAGACAGGGGTTTTGTTTTGGGTGTATCATTAGAAGGAACATGAATATGGGAGGCTCATTGAATACCTTACCTAGTACCTGGTACTTAGCTTGTTGATTCCATACAGCTTAGCATGACAGTTATTCTTGCCTCTCTCCAGTCATTGATTCAGGTGAACTTTGGTGTCATTGAACATAACATGCAGTTGGTTGAGTTGTTAGTATTAGTGGAGACTGCTCTGAAGCTTAGTCATATCTATTTTGGTCACCCATGTCATCGCACCTTTAGCCACGACTTGTCTTCAAGGCGTCCTAACACATCCTATTAGAGGCCATCCGATTTCGACGCAGTATGACCTGGATCTCTAAAACAGTGACCGTCACCGGTCTTGCTCTTCTTGCGCACGCGTAAGTTCGGTGCTCCCGTGCTAAAATCCACAAACTGACCCTCGTTCCAGGTGCTACTCTGCGCAAGAGCACTCCGTCATCTCATCAACAGCGGTCCATCATGGCCAGCCGCAACCGCTTGCAACACATTCTCTCCCAATCGATATATCCATTGAAGCTTTGGTAGCGACACTGGTTGTCGTTCTGGGTCTGGTTATGGGAACCCCGCAGCTTCGACCGATCAAGTGGCATGAATGGGCTGGAAAGATTGAGCGTGAAGGAGAGGCTGGTTTTACGACTGGAAGTGGTGAGGTCGAGAAGGACTACCGCGGGAATCCTTTCAGCATTCTGGAGACGCGACCTGGTTTTATTGACATTCGCAAGCAGCGACGCGAGTTCGCAAGCTGGGTCAAGGCGGAGGAGAAGTAAAGGCCACAGTTGGTATCTCGAATACAATATGTACTGAACAATGAGGTATAATGCATACTGTCGTAATGGGTACCTGAGTATTAGGTACACAGCGGCACTCCTTACTCTCTTCAACGATGCAGCACGAACGTAGTGATGCAGATATCTAATAGTGATACACCAGACGAGGGGACCTAAGACGGCTCGTGGGTTTGTAAATCACGAATACAGATAAAAAGCTGATTGTCCGACGGAGTGAAGACAACTCTCGCCTCGTGCAATAAAAAGACCCCAGCCTTGGACATTGACATATCTTGGATATTGTACTTGGATGCCACTGGGAACTGTCTCCCCATTGACAGCTGGTTTTCCGATCCTGAGAAGCGTCCAGGTAGCTCCTGCCACTTTAGCATCCTTCCCCTTTCCCCAACTACCTGCCCACCATGGAAGAAGGAGCGCTTACGAGGACCTTCCCAAATCGCAGAAGCCAAATATCATTTGGAAAGCAACTACCTACCTAGGTACTTACTCTAGTGCGTTGATTTGTCTCGCCACGATCAATGTGGTTATCCTTTATGAGATTCCATCTCGCTATCCCTCCTTCCTTCATCCGACCAATTATTCACATATTGACGGACTGATCTTTTCCGCCTCGAAGGATCGCAATGCCTAGAACGTCAGGTTCGAGTGTATCTAGCTCGAGTGGCCCAAGTCGAGGCCGCGGTCGAGGTCGGGGCCGGGGACGAGGCTCTACCTCCAGGAAGGGACGCACTTCGGCACCTGGAAGCAACTTCAATCCATCTTCGAGGCCTGGCTCCTTAGTACGCTCGAGTCCTACCACTCGCGATTCGATGGCCAATGGCTTGGACATATCTGGATCGCCCATTTCTCGAGAAGATAACCCACGAAATAGCAGTGAGCCCGTGCAACATGAAATCGTTATGGCTATGGACATGAAAGACAATGCTACAATCGGATGCGCATACTTTTCCACTACAAACGGAATCCTTCAGGTGTCAGAGGACATCTGTACAGCTTCTTTAGACATCACAGAGCAATTTCTTATCCATGCTCAACCGAGCAGTCTTCTTGTGTCGGCAAGATCTCCCACAAGTTTTCGGGACCACCTCGAGAAGCTCACTACTTCAACAGGCAAGTGAATTCGCGTGTTATCCTGATCGCGGGGACATTGACTGACTATGGGTAAAGATAATTCAGGGGGCATTATATTTCGAGGCTTACAGTCTTCTGAATTCTCTATCGAAACAGCACAGGAACGGCTCGCAGGTCTGAACTCTCAAGCCTTGTTACCTACCGGTATCGTATTCTCGACAGGTGTGGATGATGCAACCAACGAAGAATCTATACCAGGGCATCCACAGCCTGAATCACAGGCATTTCGGTCACTTCGCTATGGAGGTTGCATCAACATGAACAGTCCAGTCTCGGTGAGCTAAGCGCAGTTGTGTATTGATAGCACTGACCCGAACCAGGTAGGATGCGTTGGTGCCTTGCTGGGTGACATTCTTCGTCGGAGATCTGCTGGGTTTCTTCCAGATGGGCAAGTAGCCGGTGTTCTATTTCGAGTCATAGACATTCGCATGTTCTCTCTCTCGTCTTATATGTACGTTGGTAGTGATACTCTCTTATCACTACAAATCCTCCAGACTGAACTGCACCCCAACACTCAAGCATGGGGACCAGATACAACTCAGGGTAGTCCGAAAGAGAGCCTCTCCGTTTATGGTCTTTTTCACCACCTGGCTTGCACCCCTCAGGGTCGAGCAAGATTACGTCAACTATTTCTCCGGCCCTTGTTGGACATCGACGTTATCTCAGAAAGGCAACAATCAATTGCAGTATTACTGCAGCCTGACAATGCAGACAAACTGCCACAACTAGTTTCAACTCTCCGTAAACTTCGAAACTTACATGCTACATTCGCGCAGCTCAGAAAAGGCATCGAATTTCCCTCTTCTGGGCAGTCTTCCGACAAGGGCGTATGGGGGACAATCCACAAGTTCACGACACAAGCCCTGGCACTCAGAGAACTGATAGGATCCCTCAACGGTGGCTCCGAGGCGATACTCTTCCAAAAAGTAGGTTCCTCCATTCAGCACATGCTAGAAAGCCCGGGCTAAGACTCTTTACCAAGGTGATAGAGAGTCTCCAGCCAGCCAGCATGTTAGCTGTCGGAGACATGGTTAACAAAACAATTGACTTTGAGCAATCTAAAGCACGTCACCGGTCATCTGTAAAGACTGGAATCGACCCTCAACTAGACGACCTCAAAAGACAGTACGATGGCATGGGAAGCTTATTGACAGAAGTCGTCAACCACATACATCGCGAATTGCCAGAGTGGGTGTGTAAGCACGTCAAGTCTTGCGTGTTCTTGCCTCAAATCGGGTTTCTCATAGCAGTGGAACCGAATCCTGCCACTAGAAACGGTTATTATGAGGGAGAAGGTACTCCTGGTGAAAAATGGGAGAAAATGTTCACTGCAGACGACATAGTATGCTACAAGAACAGTTACATGCGAGAGTTAGATGAAGAGTACGGAGACATGTACTGCCGCATTGGAGGTAATGTGTCCATTCCTGCTTTGATATCAGAAACTAAATATACACAGATCGAGAGGTAGAAATCATCCATCGACTAGCTAGCAAAGTGTTGGAGTGTGAAGAAGTTCTGCTTTTAGCATCGGACATGTGCGGCGAGTTTGATGCGATACTTGCGCTGGCTCTTGGGGCTGAGAAGTACAACTGGCGTGCACCACAGGTCGTGCAAGCAAGCGTAATTCATATCGATGAGGGCCGTCATCCTCTGCAGGAACTTGCTGTGCCAGCTTTTGTTCCCAACTCTTGTCACCTCTTCACAGGGTCTCAAGACACGGTCGAGGTGCAAGATGACTCATCTCAAGCATTGATACTCACGGGCCCGAACCACTCAGGCAAGAGTGTATATCTAAAGCAAACGGCTATCGTTGTATATCTTGCTCATATTGGCAGCTTTGTACCAGCTAACCAAGCCGTTATCGGGCTCACCGACAGTATTCTCACATGTATCTCTCCTAGGGAGAGTATGTCTGGGGGCGAGAGTGCGTTTGCCAGAGACATGAAGCAAGCTGCTCTATCGACAAGAGCCTCCACACCAAAAAGTCTCATCCTGATAGACGAATTCGGCAAGGGAACGAATGGTGACGACGGTGCTGGATTACTGGCCGCATTGCTGGACCACCACCTCTCACTTGGACCTGACTGTCCCCGCCTTCTTGCTGCCACACACTTTCACGAGATCTTCGAGAATAGGTATTTGAACCACCAGAGCGGCCTCCGGATCGCGCACATGGATGTAAGACTGGATTGGGAGGCGGCACTATTAGACGATCAAGTCACTTATCTTTTCAGTCTTGAGCATGGCCACAGTACGTCGAGTTTTGGAGGCAGATGTGCAGCTCTGAATGGAGTGCCTAGTGCCGTTGTGGAGCGTGCTGAAAATATCTCCCAACTGCTTGCACAGAATGAAGACTTGGGAGCAGTTTGTGCTGGTCTATCCCCAGTAGAGATGGAACGGTTGGAGGAAGCAGAGGTGACAGCACGACTGTTTCTGAACGAATCTTTCGGTGACGAGGATGAAGTGGAATCGAACGAGGGCGAAAATGGCACCAGGGATTCCATTGAGGATATATTGGAAGCTATAATCTCACCAAACACTTGAGCAGTTGCTGATAGGGGCAATCCCACCTGATTTCTGTGTGGGTGGATGATCAATTTTGTGCAAAGGAGTTCAACTAACAGCTACTGTTCCTATCTGGTTAACTACCTATGGATAGTACCATATAAAGTTGAGTTCGGCTGAAGGATGCATCGGACAATTAGAAGGCTACGCAGTAAGATACGTTATAAAAGCGATGCTAACAACACCTTATGTTGTCCTTGTGGTTGCTTTACAAGTCCTGCGGCGATGACATTGTTAACTATTGACCACTATGCCCGAATAGATATTGTTCATCAACTGTCATAAACCTTTGAGTGTGAGAGTATTGGATTGTGAGGTATGGGGTTGAGCCACCCCTAACAAGGCGGTTTACAAAAAAGCATGTCTCATGGACATAATGCGTCTTTTATATGAGTTTACGAAGAGCAATTGAGTATATCTTGTGGGCCATAGTAAGAGGATGCTTGATGAAAACAAAATGCAAATATATATAGTATTGACCGTTTTATCTAGGTCCAATTGCAATCCTATATACAACATGATAAGCACGCTTCATAGCCCTCGAGAAATCAGATTGGGGCAATCATAATATGCTTCGTAAAATGGGGTTCGTCCACTCTTGGCGTCTGTGTGAGCATCTCCTCAGGCCTGCTTCGTTCTGGAAATATGAGCCGCAGTGTCGGAGGCGGATTTGAAAACAGCCGACCCAACAGCTCATGGTCCATATATGTTGGCTGTCTGTGATTTTTATCTCAGCGTGGACGTCACTTAGAGCAGCGCGCTGAGCAGCGCAACACCTGCGCCAAGACTGACAAACCACAAGCCACGGTTGTTGGAGGACGAAGCATCGTTTCCATAATCCGAACAGTCGTCATTAGACACATTGCCGCATGCACGAGAACTCAAACTAGAACAGACAGCGGTTGCAGATGAAGAACCTAAAGCCTGGCCACCGCCTTCAACGGTGGTCCCTCCACCGCCAGGCACGACGATAGTCACACCATATTGACCTCCGTCTCCTAGATAGTTGACACACTGATCATAGTTCTTCTCGCAAGCATCGACCGCTGATGTGCATGCAGCCTCGCTCTCGAAAGTCGCCGCGGCGTAAGGGAACGCGAAATATGAGTTCGGAACGTAGGATGGCGAAGCAGTTGCTGCGCCGGTGGCCGAAGCTGGAGCTGTACCTGTACATACAGCGCTGTGAGGCGTTAGTCCCACCATTCATCGAGGTGCACGCCCAGCTGGAATTGGAAGATTATACTCACCCAGATGGGCAACATGCTGGTTCGTCATCGGCATCAACAGCGCATGTTTGGCCGTTTTGGCAGCAAATGTCACGGAACCTCTCGCCAAGCTCTTCAGAGCATCGGAATGTGTTGGCGGGACATGAATCGTCCCGCTTAAAGATTACTGACGCAGGTGGAACGTAGGCGGGATAGTATGTCGCAGTCGCCGTCGCCGTCGCGGTTGCTGTCGCTAGTGCTGGCACTTCTGGGATGTTTTGCGCGGATGTTGAGGCTGCGACGAAGCCGAGCAACAAGTAGGAGCCATAACCAAACATGGTTGACAGGGCCTGCCAACGCTGGCACTGGCACAGGCACAGACACGGAGAACCTTAGGCAGGTAGGCAAAGTAAGGTATTGAGTTGGAGGCGGAGAGACTGAGCGCTTGAGCCGTTGTACTGCAGGTCAGATTGTTTTAGGCATGTGAGAAGCACAAGATGGAGGTTCGAACTTGTCAAGCAAACAAACCCCAATAAAATCCTGCCTCTAGACTAGGTAGGATATGGATATGGATGCTTCCTTGTTAACTTCCACTTCTAGCAAGGGCCCGGGATGATATCGGTCAGTGGGGTCGTCACCAAAGACTCGTCCCAAGGGTTTCCATGTTTCCTTGGGCAACACGACAAGTACGAACATGGAAGGAAGCGTTGAGCTGGGGTTTAGGCCAATATTCGAATGATGTCATTGGTCAGCTTAGTTGGCTCAGCAACTTATACTCCACTACTAGATTATGCTACCAATACTGAATCAATCAGGTGAACTATTATATACGCCGGTATTTTATTAGTCTTACCATGGAATAGGTACTGGCAAATGAAGCTTATATCTACCTACCTACAGTATTAAGAAATCGTTGCTTTCATGTTCAGAACCTTACACGTCCGTCCTCAAAACCCTCGCACATGTGCAAGTATCTGTCGTAATCGCTCCAGCGCCTTTGTCTCCGATGCCTCGTTAGAGCCTCGAGCTCTGGTCTCTTCAACCTCCTTTCGGGCCTCAGCTATCAACGGTTCCAAATCACCCCAAACGTAATCGGTATACCCATTGAGCACGTTGCCCCATTGCTGTAGCCAATTGCTTCTGGCTTCGTCGGTATCTCGTGTACCTAAGTGGAGCTGTCGTTCAAGCTCTGCCTCGGCTCCTGGCTGGTTCAGAAAGTCTGGATTGAAGTTTAATAAATCGTTCAGTCCAGGGCCAGATGATGTCGAGTTCGTAGGGAAGAGGGCTTCTCGAAGTTTGGCCGCTGCTTCTGGTGTAAGAGTCTCATCCTCCTCTTGGACACCAAGTAAAACAGCATCGAGTTCATCCGAGGGACCATCGAGTAGGTCGATAACGGCTGCACCATCCCGTTTTTCTTGATCAGAGACATCCTGTGACATTGATACATCTGTTGAACGGTAGTCATTTGATGTGGGCTTATCATCGTAGTGGTCCAATGTGGAGTCGGCACTGACAAAATCATCAAATGCCTGTGCTGAAACTTCAGAGTCCAAGTTTGCCTTTGAACGAAGTGTCTCCCCTTGAACAGAGGAGTGCAGTTTATGTGAAGATGCTTCTCCCGAACTTGATGTGATTCTGCTAATGTTGTTACTGCCGCTTGTGCTAGCTTTGGCCGCCGGCTGTTGGCCACTTAGCCCTGGGCCAGTCCCGAAGGCATTCAGAGCTAGTCTGCCAGAGGCTTGGAGTCTGCCAGTGATTGTGCTTGACTCTTCGTTGTTTGTGTATCTGTCTTTGCCTTTGCCTTTTAAATTCAGAGATGATTTCTCATCTGTATGTGTTTCGGGTGGTGGTTGATTGTCCTGGCTCATGTTGTCGCGCTAACCTGGGTGGTAGCCTCTCAAGTGAATTTTGGTGGTACGGTGTCTTTATAATGCGCCTTTGAGGATGCTTGAGATATGATATATACGTTAATGCTGTTCAGTAACTGAAGTTGAACCGGAGCACATGTCAAATCGGCCCCGGACGGATGAGCGGGTGCCGATCAGCTCGGCTTTCATGGTGGGCATCGGATGTCCCTGATGGGTTAAGCTCCGATGCCCCTCATGCACACCTATAGGCAAGGTAGCTTGATACATGGAAACGATCTGATTAAAGCTACAGCTCCAGTAACTTACAAATTTACCCGGTTCAGAGCTGTCAAACGTTAGGCAAAGTGCCTACCTACCTATCCTGGAAACTCTGAGCGTGGAACTGTTGATCTCATGAGTCCAATCACTTGTAAAGAACAGTAGCATGATTATAGTTGGTACACTGATATTGAAGACATAGACCGGGTGGTTGATTCTTTATGTCTATATACTGGCAAGAATGGGAAGAGTAGCTTGGTCTGGATGGAGACTGAGCTATGGTGAATAATTATATGTTCCTCAGACCTTCTCAAGCTTGATACTGTACATAGAGGCAGAAGATTAAGTCATTGATTTTGGGATGTTGGTGGCGTCAAGCCTCTAGCTCAGGTGGGATTGCTCTGTACAGTACCTACTGTTGAACAGCTTTAGCTTTGGTTCTCGACCCTACCTAGCTGCTTTGCGAGGTGTTGCTTTTACTCACGTCATGCCATCATAGGCACAAGATAAAACCACCATACACTGTCACCCCGAAGTCCAAAGGCGACAACGCGTTGCTACCTTACCTTACCTTACCTTCCAAGCCGAGATAACCTCACTACTACCTTAAGCTAAGGTATCGAGGTTAAGATCCACCCGTGTCCCCGTATCCATTCATTGATCAACCACCATCCAGTGGCAGTCAAGTTCAATTTCAAGCCCAAACCAAACCAGGTCATGCCAGGCCAGCCCAAAATCGAACTTGATCAAAGATCAAAGAAGCTTGGCTCTGCCTTGCCTTGCCTTAAGGTAGTGCCTAGATATAGACTGTACCTGGCAAATCGTTGCGTCACTTTCTACCCCTTGTTCTTTATGCTTTTATGGTACGGAAAGCATCAGATTAATGTTTATCTTTTCAACTCAATTAAACAAACTAGATACATAGGCAATTAAGTAGTCGAAACCTTTCCTCTCAAGCTCAATTGATCTTGGACATGGCATCATGCGTGCCTTCGTCCGTCTCTATGCCTCTCAAATATAGACCCCACCTCACATCATCACCACCTCAGTCAGTACTCGTAGATCTATAGATACCTCAACTACCTGGGTAGGTAGGTAATTGTATATCAATATAGAAACAACAAAGGCAATGGGAGTGAAATCTCGCTATCTACGGCACAGCATTGTATAGGCACCTTACTAGGCGGTTTCAGCTCGGGCAGCTCTACATCCATCGCCAGCAGGGAGGTAAACAGCCCGCATAGCGCATCCATAGCACAGAATCTAGTGAACAAGCTACCGCTACCGCTACTGCCCTGCCCCTCCACTCACTGTCCCCTCCCTCATCTCTTTGGTTCGCTGTCCAGGCCGCCGCTTTTGTTTCTGCTTCTGCTCTTTCCGTCGCCCACGTCTACCTACGTCTGCGTCCACGTCCACGTCCGCACCGCACTATCCCGTCATTACCGCTAGGTATTCTCTTCAGCCTTGGACACCTGCCGACCTTTCAACATCATACACATCCATCGTTGTCTAGACCTCAGCTCTCTCCAAATTTCTTTCCCCCATCAACTCAACCCATTTCGACCCGTCGACTTCACTCGACAGTAAATTATTTTTGGACCAACGTTCCTTTATAGACCACAGCGGCGATATCTTGCTAGACCCCACTGCGGCGCCGACAAAAAGACGATATCCAAAACGACACCACCGCCCTCCACCCACTCACTCAACCACCTTACCTTACCTTGCATTGCCTCGCCCTGTCTTGCCTTGCCTTGCCTGACGCTATCCCGCCCACCGCAAGACTTGTCGTGTGCCGCTGTTCAAATCCCTTCGCGTCCTTTCCTCTCGCTTCGTTCAAGTCGAGAGCTTTTATCGCCTCCAAACTCTCGACTCCGATCAATCCTCCCTCCCCTCCGTCTTGGCCCCGCCATTCCCACAGCTATCGAGTCTGACCTTTGCCTCCCTCGAACTCCAACCACAACCCCTCCTAATCCCCGCCCTCGCTGCTCGCCAAGATGGTTGATAGCGAAGCGAACTCACCTACGTGGAAGTTCACACAGTATGTTGGCTATTTTCTTTGGCTTCAAGCCTTTTATTTTGCTGGGACGACCGATACTGAGCTCTTCTGCACAGGTGTTTTGGTGACAAGGGCGATGTCGAAGATATCACCGAGGGTATGTCATCACCGCTTGCCTCCTTGAGACCCGTTTCGTCGTCTTGTTATTCTAACCATCGTTCTCGCTCTGGTACAGCCGACATTATCTCTACAGTTGAATTCGATCATACCGGAAACTATCTCGCTACTGGCGACAAGGGCGGTAGGGTAGTGCTTTTCGAACGAAACGAAACGGTACGTCACCATCCAACCAAGCCCTCGTGCATTGGCCACGACTGGTCTAGTGATTCTGTAGCATCATCCCTGATAGATTTGTGCAGAAAAAAACCTGCGAGTATAAGTTTCATACCGAATTTCAGTCTCACGAGCCCGAATTCGACTACCTAAAGTCACTCGAGATCGAGGAAAAGATCAATAAGATAAAGTGGTGCAGACGACAGAACGCCTCGCACTATCTGCTCTCTACCAATGACAAAACAATCAAGCTATGGAAGGTCTTTGAGAAGTCGCTCAAGGTCGTGGCCGAGAACAACCTCTCTCACGATGTTACGCCTGGAAGTATCGCTGGCGGTGGTGGCGCTCCTAAACCTCTACCTGCTCACCAATTCAAGAACTCTGCCGACCTGAAGCTACCTCGCCTCACACACCATGACACAGTCGTCGCCGCCGTCCCACGTCGAACATACGCCAACGCACACGCTTATCACATCAACAGCATTTCAGTCAACAGTGACGGGGAGACCTTTATTAGCAGTGATGATCTGAGAATCAATCTTTGGAACCTGAACATTCAGGATCAGAGCTTCAACATTGTTGATATCAAGCCCGCTAACATGGAAGAACTCACCGAAGTTATCACAGCTGCTGAATTCCATCCTATGAGCTGCAACTGGTTCATGTATGCAAGCTCCAAGGGTACTATCAAGCTTGCGGATATGCGAGAGAGCGCTCTGTGCGATCAGCACGCCAAACGTTTGTGCATCCTATTTGCGTTGATTTTCATGCGCCTGGACACTTGCTAATATGTTATTGTAGTATTTGAACAAGAGGAAGACCCTTCTTCGCGATCGTTCTTCTCCGAAATCATTTCTTCCATTTCTGATGTTCGATTCTCGCACGACGGCCGATACATTCTATCTCGTGACTACCTGACTGTCAAAATTTGGGATATCAACATGGAGCGACAGCCTGTCAAGACGATACCGATTCACGAGCACCTCCGACCACGGTTGTGTGACACATATGAGAACGATAGCATTTTCGACAAATTCGAAGTCGTCTTCTCTGGCGACGCAAAGAATGTTATGACAGGAAGCTACAACAACAACTTCATGATCTATCCTTCAGACCCCGAGAAGGAGGTAGAGGTTGTTCTTCAGGCAGACAAGTCTGCTTTCAAGGCCAAGAAGGTTGGGGTACCCACACCAATCAACTCGTCGACGAGCCCGACAGCAACCAATGGCAAGAAGGGTGGCTCCAGAGCTGGCAGCCCAGGTGGTCAGGGCCAGCGAATGCGTAAGGAGACAGACGCGGACCAGATCGATTTTAACAAAAAGATTCTGCATATGAGCTGGCATCCGTTCGAGGACAGTATTGCGATTGCGGCCACAAACAATGTAAGTGAAGCCAAAAACAACAGCTCTAAATTCGATAGAACTTACTGACACGGTGGAACAGCTATTTGTCTTCTCAGCACTCTAGACCATGATAGCGGCGTTCATCTCGTGGGCATTTTAGCGAAGAAGGGCATGGCGGAAGTCGAAGCAGCAAGAGCATGGGTTGCCTTACCGTCAGCAAAGGGATTGGCCTAGTTCTGCTCGGGTATGACATGTCATGCCAACGGTGCAGGGCGTGATCGTGCGACCCGATGCAAGTTACAATACTCTGAAGCGAAGCAGAGAGCGTCGACAGTGCATGACGCGAAGGCTTCGTGGAAGAGAATAAAGCTGGAGGATGCCCTTGACGTGTCCGCCGATTCAGTAGCAAAGTCAGAAGTGAAGCAGCCGACCATTATCTACGAAGCGAGCGAATGAATGAGTGGGAGAAGCCACATGGGATGGAATTGAACGAATGCATGGATCGGCGTTGGGTCGCCACGTGTAGCAGAAACCACAAAGAGGAGAATTAAAGAAATGTCACCCATACCTGAGAAGTGATGAAAGTGTAAACTGCACGCAAGTGTGATTAAGTGTTTGGTCTGTGGGTTCAAGGGAGAGAGATATACGAAAGTAGGCACCTGGCTTAAAGTTGATGCAGGGCAGGGTTCAAACGCAGTGCCATTGCTGTCACTTTACTCCCAAGCCAATCTGAGGTCGACGCAAGCCTTTCTGTAGTTATGAATCCCACAATATCTTTACCTTGACTATGATACCACCAGATGGAACCTTTATGTTGTACAATAGGATATGGATGTACTGACATCAGGTACCAAGTTGGTTGGAAAGATATGATTTGGCTAAAGCCACTAACTAGCGCGACGTATCAAGTACAAGCTCAGCTCGGTCAAGTCTGGTGGGCATGCAGGTACAACAGTACCCCTCAATTGATGCGGGTCAGTGCCGAGTCTTATCTGGTCTTTACTTTAGTAAACATCCTCCATCTGTCCATCCCTGCCTGTCTCACTCTCGTCACTTACTCTTGGCTCTCTTGCAACAATACCAAGGACAGAAGGGCAATTGGTACCAGTAAAATCTCATCCAGTCCAGTGGGTGTACCGTACGCTCGACTCAGCCGCTCCTTTTTTCTTTTTGTTTTTTGTTTTTGTCAGCAGAGCCGCTTGCTGAGGGATACGGCTTGTCACTCCTTTTTTCTTCTTACTATTTACACGTCCCTACTCCCATCCCACAGCAATGGCGACCGAAACACCTTCTCACATCCTCCGTAAGAGGACAGCTGCCGCCGACATGACGGTCGTTGAGAACTCAGTCAGTCGCGACAGCGCTTTGCGAGAGTCGGCAAATGGGGACCTCGAGCGCGGTTCCGGATCTTCGATAGCGCAGCACATCGCCAAGCTAGTGGCTTATGATGTCGGACCCTCGTTACTTACAGTTGGTGTGATGTTGAGTTTGATCTTTGGAGGATGCTGCTCCAATGTACGTTGTCACTTGCCATCTAAACCCCCCACCAGGGAGTTGTCTCACACAGAACTCGATCAAATATTAACTGACTTAGGTATACGCTCTTGAGGCCATCGTTAAGTGAGTTTTCAACAATTGCTTGATTCCCGTTTGACCCAGCCAAGCCCGTGTAGCTGACTTGAATATCTATCTAGCTTTGAACCCTCCAGTGGTATGGAACCCATCCCAGCGTTAGGTTGCTTACAGCAGCGCAGTGCAGTCAGCTAACACATATATAGGAACCCTTCTGACATTTGCCCAATTCCTTTTTGTCGCTGTGACGGGTTTCATTGCTCAGTTTGACACCAAAAGCAGGTTCTTTCTTACACCAAACAAGGTCCCCATCAGTCGCTGGATCTTCAACATTGTCCTCTTCTTCACTATCAATCTATTGAACAATCATGCATTCAGCTACGATATCTCCGTACCAGTTCATATAATCCTTCGATCTGGCGGAAGTATCACAACTATGGCGGCGGGTTACCTCTATGGTAAGCGATATACCCGAACTCAGGTGATCGCTGTCTTTCTCTTGACGCTCGGCGTCATCTTGGCCGCATGGTCTGATGCTCAAGCCAAGGTACGTCCTTCTATCTGTCTCGAATGGCAGGTCTAATACGGTACTAATCCCTTTCAAACATCAGGGTACAAGTGAGAGTAGTGGCCGCCCAGCCTTCAGCACTGGACTCTTGATCCTCTTTGTTGCTCAGGTTCTCTCTGCTATCATGGGACTTTACACTGAAGCAACCTACGCCAAGTACGGCCCTCAGTGGAAAGAAAACCTCTTTTACTCCCATGCGCTCTCTCTACCGCTGTTTCTACCCTTTGCTCCCTCCATGCTTCGGACATTCTCTCATCTGATGACAAGCACTCCAATCCAGCTACCGGGGATGTTTGGTCCCGCATTCGCCAAGATTGCGATTCCCAGCCAAATCGTTTTCCTTGTCACCAATGTCTTGACGCAGTACGCTTGCATTCGTGGTGTCAATCTGCTGGCCGCTGCATCAACGGCTCTTACCGTCACTATCGTTCTCAATATCCGAAAGCTTGTCAGTCTGCTTCTGAGCATCTGGCTGTTTGGTAACCAGCTGGCGCCCGGTACTTTACTCGGTGCCATCATAGTCTTCAGCGCTGGTGGACTGTATACAGTCGGGTCGCGTAAGAAAGCACCAGCCGAGAAGAACGCCCCTGCGAGAGATCACAAAGCGAGCTGAGGGGGTTTCTTTTCACTATTTTTATGCATAACACTGCTGCGACGAATTATACAGGGCTTAGGATGGCGTATCTGGTTTGGGGAGACTCATTAGAATAAGAGAGACGGGTCTGTCAGTCATGCTGGGCTCGTAGCCTATGAGAAGATCGGAGTTGCAGCTCGTGCTGTATACCAACAACTAAAGAAAGCTGAAAGACTCAGATGCGAAAAGTCTAGAATTTCCCTTTATACCGACTGCGAAATTCTGATTGTAACTGATCGCAATGATAAGGTCGAAACATGAGAGAAACCTTGTGAGATGTACGTTTGGGGAATAGAATAGAAAATGTCGCAGGCGTTTAGCCTTTGATATGCAATGAACATCACTGATTGAAGGAGTTTGATCAGGTACTTCAACTTCGTGAATAGTCATGCAGAGATGCGATTGGATGCAATGTGCATACTGCAGCCACATTCGGTACTCTTATCAGCTTTCTTCATATTCAGCCTTGCTATGGGCTAGCCAATCTCCTATTGGCAATTCAAGATTTGAAGATCTGACCTGATTCATTGTACTTCAGTTACGTATCAGGTAACCTTATCATACTACGGGAACTTACTTCAAATAACATTGAGCAAACGTTGGATTGGTACCTGTACGGGTCTCTAGGTTTCTGTTCAACCAAGTGTTTCAACCACATATCGCCCTGATATAATTCAGAAAAAGTTCTTGCCCCTCAATGATCAATTCGGTTTACATTGTTGTAGAACCTGTCTGTCAATTAGACTATATGGCGTTTCATCAAGACCAGGGACTTGACCCGGTGCTGCGGGTACGGAAAGAGACCTTGCTCGCGGGAAAACCTCCCAGGTTCCGATCAAGTGGAGCTGAATCATTGAGAAATTCATGTGTTCATGTTACATCCCCTCCGTTTGTAAGGCAAGGGTTAATGCTTCTACCAATGACCCTGATGTTTGCATTGCCTTATGCAATTGCTCCTCTATGTATGATCTCTGACGATAGGCTTCATACTTATCTGGTCACACTATGAGCACCTAGGTAAGCATACGTATCTCGATCCATTTAAGAGGAAAGAAAAATATCTGGAGAATTTGCATCACCTCCTGCATGTGGTAAGAGTCAATAGCAGTCAAGTTAGAAGTTCAGTCCAAATACCTTAGTAGATGCCTGAATAGGCCTAGTTCATTTCTAACTTCTACCGACGCACTGTCCCACTATAATCCACTAGAAACCCTGGTGCGTCACACCGTCATACTGTACCTTCCCTAGGTTAGTACCTGGAGTTAGTCACTTATTGGTACCCTTGGTACCACCTCCATACCTCACCTCCACTATCATTCTCACGGGCTGTCTCTTCTCTTACTGCGGGCAAGCTCTCAAGACCTAAGCAGCCCTTTCTAGACACCTGCCCAAGGAAGCTTTCGTTGCACCAGAATTGACAGTTCTTCTTCCTTCGAAAAAGAAAAAAAAAAAGCTTCGTTTCGAGGCTTGAAGCAAGGAATCGCCATGCCTGGTACGTAACTCACTGCTCGTCTTGCCCCTCCTCTGCTACGCCAATCTGATATCACGGTGGACGACGACTGCAGAAACTGGAAAGTCCGCTGACCAAGCCAATGTTACAGGCGCTCCTATATTTGAAGAAAGCGAATCAACAGCACTCGATGTGCGAGCCAGGGAGTCAGATGAGGAGGTAGACGAAACTAGAGATGCTGGTGCAACCGGTCATGGCGCCTCGCACAAAGAGGCTGCATCTGATGCTGGTTCGCAGGTCGGCGACGATGCAGAGGAGCTCGAAGATGGCATGCTCCTCCGCGATTTGCCCAAGCGAACTACCTTTTATGATCCTGTCGCTGAGCGCCAGATGAGCCAAACCGACGCAAAATACTTCTACCACCGAAACAAGGCCGATGTGCGAAGCGGTGGTGGGGCTGGCAATCAATCAATCCCTCAAAGTCCTTTCCTCGCTTCTGGTTCTCGTCCTGCGACTGAGTATGGTGCCGATTCTCTCATCTTAGACTCGAGTGGTCGTCGAGTTGATTCTTTGCCTCCAGGTCTGGAGATGCCAAATCCTGCCATTGACTCCTCGGGTTTCACTCAATCGCCCACAAAAGTAGAAACGCAACATGCGCCTTTTCCATCAAACGATTCTTCGGCGATTCCACATGCCAGTCAGGTGGCCCAAGACCCTCGACTTCCTGATGGATCCAGTAACGGCCTGCCCTCTGGTGGTCTCTTCGACACTGAGCCTCATATCACGTCAGAATTGAGCGCAATCTCAAAGAACATCCAGAGGATCTTGGATCTCAGGCGCAAGTACATCGCGCTCTCTCACCAGGGTCCAGATGATAACCCAAGAGACGGTCCGGATTGGGAAATTTATCCCCCTCCACCTGAACCTGCATGGCAACAGGCTTCGAGGCAAGCAACAAACGCCGCGGAGCACGTACCGGGCCAGGAGAACACTGGCGCGAACGGGGCCAAGACAGGAACTGAATCCGCATCCAAGGACGCGCCGCAGGATCACCATGAGAGCAAGCGATCGACAAGAAGGCGAAAGCCAGGCCAGGATATCGGAGAAGATTTTGACATGGCGGATGTGTTGCCTCTACCAGGGACTGATGGGCGTTCGTACAAGCTGGATGACAGCGGAGTCTACCAGGTCTTTGAGAACGATGATGCGCATGCGCCTGCGATCAAGGTCCCTACAATTAGGGAGTTCTACATGGATCTTGATGACATCCTGGATGTGTCGTCCGATGGGCCTAGCAAAAGTTTTGCGTTCCGACGTCTTCAGTACCTTGAGGGTAAATTCAACTTATACGTCCTTCTGAATGAGTACCAGGAGACAGCCGATAGCAAGAAGGTTCCTCACAGAGACTTCTATAATGTCCGAAAGGTTGACACTCACGTTCATCATTCTGCATGTATGAATCAGAAGCATCTGCTACGTTTCATCAAAAGTAAGATGAAGAAGTTCCCTAATGAAGTTGTCCTCTTTCGTGATGGACGGCATCTCACTCTCGCCGAGGTCTTCGCTAGCATTAATTTGACTGCCTACGACCTGAGTATAGATACTTTGGATATGCATGTAAGACTCATTTCTGAACTGAAAAGACATATCTTTGGGGTCGTCTACTAACATCATTAGGCTCACACTGATTCATTTCACCGGTTCGACAAGTTCAATCTCAAATACAACCCGGTTGGGGAATCCCGTCTCCGAACCATCTTCCTCAAGACGGATAATTTTATTCATGGCCGCTACCTTGCCGAGATCACTAAGGAGGTTATTTCTGATCTGGAGTCAAGCAAGTATCAAATGGTGGAGTGGCGCATTTCCATCTACGGCAAATCTATAGATGAATGGGACAAGCTCGCCGCTTGGGTCGTCGACAACAAACTCTTCTCTCACAACGTTCGATGGCTCATTCAAATACCCCGCCTTTACGACGTCTACAAAGCCAGTGGTTTGATGGAGACGTTTGAACAGGTGGTTAAGAACGTTTTCCAGCCCCTTTTCGAAGTTACAAAGGACCCGTCAAGCCACCCAAAGCTACATATCTTCCTTCAACGAGTCATTGGATTTGACAGTGTCGACGATGAAAGCAAGGTGGAGCGCCGTTTATTCAAGAAGTTTCCTGTGCCAAAGGTCTGGGATACTAAGCAGAATCCTCCCTATAGTTACTGGATCTACTACCTTTATTCTAATCTGGTATCCTTGAACTATTGGCGTAGGAAGCGAGGATTCAATACACTTGTTCTACGACCTCACTGTGGAGAGGCTGGCGATAGCGAACACTTGGCTGTTGCAGCCTTATGTTGCCACAGCATTAGTCATGGACTTCTCCTTCGCAAAGTGCCCCTTCTTCAGTACATCTTCTACTTGGATCAGATCGGCATCGCCATGTCGCCATTGAGTAACAATGCTCTGTTCCTAGCATACGAACGAAACCCATTTCATCATTACTTCAAGAGGGGACTCAACGTTTCTTTGTCCACAGACGACCCTCTGCAATTTGCTTTCACCAAGGAACCCCTGATCGAGGAATATGCTGTTGCGGCGCAAATCTACAAGCTCAACTCGGTCGACATGTGTGAGTTGGCAAAGAATTCTGTCAAGCAGAGTGGCTATGAGCTGGCCATCAAAGAGCATTGGCTAGGACGTGGCTGTAACAAGCCAGGGAAAGAAGGAAACGCCATGGTAAAGACAAACGTTCCTGATCGCCGAGAAGAATTCCGTTACTTCACGTTGATGCAAGAAAGAGATGTGTAAGTGCAACACTTGAATGCTCCCCCTTTTTTGCGACTTATGTGAAGGTACTAACATGTAGGGTTTAGGTTGTCCAAATATGTCACATATAATGCTGCGAGTGAGCCTTCGGCACAAACTGGTGGCAACGAAAACAAAATGTCAGAGTCAGTGGCATCCATGACTAGCCAGGCTGCTGCTACGGGTCTATCTACAGGCAAGGAGCCTGCGAACCCTGAGATGTCCCCACCGGCCGGCCATCAAATCACGAAGGTTGCGTCTCAGATAGGATTGTCAGCTAGTAGAGACCAGGTGTGGCCCAGTGATGCTATGGCAGACCACCATCTTTCAGGAAGCGATCCGAGAATGTTTCCAGGCATTTTCACTCGGGGTCATCGTACTGGCAGCATGCGGAACCTGGCCCAAGCCGGTGATGACCGGGACATTGCAGACGATGTTTTCGGTCCAGAGACTTGATCTTGATTTCATACGGCTATGGTTAGATTGTGCAGTGACTTTAGGGTACTATGAATAGACTAACTACCTTATTGATGTTGGCATGACTGAAACAAACGGAATGCTGGGTTGCATGGAAACACTTTTTAGACAACGGTACCAGGAAGCTAGTAGTGCTGCCATGCCCGGTACCACGCTCAGTTGAATTTCATCAAGAGATCAGTTCTTTATATTGTATATATAGGCGTCGAAATACCATTTTGTTTGATAAGCTGTTCGGTCCGGATGTGGCATATGAGCACGTATCTTTTACTTGGTTTCTGGATGTATGGACGGATCATCATGAGATACATGCTTTGACCAACGCAAGAGTCTTCAAGTTTAGGACTGGTTATCCAGCGTACATCAATTGAATGAACAATCGTTATTTGAACCTGTACTATACAGCCTGCGTCTCATCCTGAAGTTTGAACTTTAATGCAGGATGCAGGGTAGCAATCGTCAATTTTGGCACCCACTTCCAAGAAAGCTGACGTTATCCGGCAGGGTATTGCTTTGCGGAGAGTTTCCAGCCCAACCGAACCTGCTGTAGATAAAGGGGGCAGACGGAATTTACACAGGTTCGATGCTATTTGTGGTATTAAAACAAGACCTACCTAACCCATGCCTGAGAGACCGCATCGAGTTGCTCCACTACGTATCCTGCCATAGTAGGTAGGATATACCTACCTCTTAGAAATGTACCATGAATCAATGCAATACACACGGACGATTGGTGACATACCTTTTTAACAGTACAACTTCTTAATGCAGATATAGCGTAGCTTGCTGTTCATCTGGACCCTAACTTACTGATTCACTACCTCCTAATTAGTACGTAGTGGAGCCAGGTTATTAATTAGGCTTAATTAGCTTGGGTTACCAGGGGGAGGTACAGTAGGCATGGACGGTATACCTGCCTCGACCTAGTCGTTACTTGCTTGCTCCTCAGACAAACGACGCACTGCGTCACTTCGCATCGCATCGCATCGCATTGCCGCGTTTTGTTTTCTACCAGCCCCTCCTAATCCTTCCCCAATTCTTTTCTGCTGCTAATTTAAAGGTCATCCTTTCCGAAGCACATACGGAACGGTGCAGCCGACAGTGTCAATTCACGACCTTCCGAGATGGGGTTTCTAGGAGTGTACCGGGCTCTCTACGACTACGTGCCCCAAGCCGAGGGTGAGCTCGCCATCAACGATGGCGACTTGCTTTATGTTCTAGATAAGAATGGCAACGACGGTTGGTGGAAAGCAAAGAAGAAGGCCGGCGCCGATGACGAGGAAGAGCCAACCGGCCTCGTTCCTGGTAACTATGTCGAGGAGGTAAGCTGGCTTCAAGAGTTCATCAAATGTTACAGAGCGGTACTAAAGAGTCCCTTTTCTTTCTCAAGGCCCAACCCGTAGACCATGCTCGAGCTCTTTTCGATTATACGCGTCAAACCGACGAGGAGTTGTCGTTTCACGAAGATGCCATTCTGAACGTCTACGATACGTCGGATCCTGACTGGATCCTGACTGGCCTCGACGGCGAATATGGTTTCGTCCCTTCGAATTACATCGAAATGGGAGCAGTTGCCGAAACTGCTCAACCTCCTCTACCATCGCCGCCACCAGCGCTTCCCTCTAGACCCCCGGCAGCTTCAGTCTCTGAACCCGAACCAGAGGCGGCTGCTCCGGACCTACCGACCGATACCGCGTCTCCGCCTCCAAACCCTGCTGCAGCCATTGCAGGAGTCATGCACAACCGGTCAACGTCTCAACAGCCTCAGCAACCTCAGCAACCTGCAGCTCCGCGACAGCCTCCCCGAGCATCCGTTACATTTAGTGAACCCCCTGAAGTCGAGGACGAGCCTGTGCGATCACCAACACTACCAGCCCGACCAAGGGTACCAGCGCCGCCTTCGCCCACCTATGATGAACCTCCTTCTCCTATACATACACGGACCTTTCAGCAGGATCGCAGGGACCCGGAGCGACGTCAAGATGTTGAGCGCACCCCTGGCGGTTTCCACATGTATAATATCAATGAAATGATTTCCGTCATGGGAAAGAAGAAGAAAATGCCCACGACTCTCGGAATCAATCTTCTGACAGGTATTATATTGGTTGCGCCGGAGCATGCTTCTGATGGACCTTCCCAAGAATGGACTGCTGACCGTATGACGCATTACTCGCGAGAGGGAAAGCATGTTTTCATGGAGCTTGTCCGCCCAAGCAAGAGTGTCGACTTCCACGCGGGAGCAAAGGATACCGCGGAAGAGATTGTCAGTATGCTAGGCGAGTTGGCTGGTGCCATTCGATTCGAGGGACTCCGCGACTCGATTATAGGAACATCAGGGAGCGGCGGCGGCGGCGGCCTTAAGAAAGGTCAGATTCTCTATGACTTTATGGCTCAGGGCGACGATGAGGTCACTGTTGCGGTTGGTGACGATGTATTTGTTCTCGATGATACCAAGAGTGAAGAGTGGTGGCAAGTCCGCCGGCTCAAGAATGGTAAAGAGGGAGTGGTCCCTAGTAGCTATATTGAAGTTACAGGCTCTGTTGCCACACCACCATCCGGCGGCGTTAACTCAGCCAAGTCGCTTGTCGAACAGAACCGTCTCGAAGAAATTCGATTGACGAAGGAAGCCATACAGGCTGGCAAAGAACCTCAGCAGGTAGGACCGGGAATGCCTCTCCCTGAACGAGGCAGTAGCCTCACGGCACGAGAAACTGGTAGTAATTCGGGACAACAGCGGAGTCGCCGAGAAAATGGACGAAACGATGGCGGGAGTCAGAGCCGATCAAAGTCTAGTAAGTGCCCGCATAACACGGCGCGCTCTGTATAAGATACCGAGCTGCCCGACCTCCATCAGTTTACTGACTTCAACCTCTAGAGCCAGACTCGTCCAAGGTGCGAACTTGGACCGACCGATCTCGATCTTTTAGTGTGGAAGCCCAATTTCTCGGACTCAAGGATGGCAAGATCCATTTGCACAAGATGAACGGTGTCAAGATTGCTGTCCCTATCACAAAGATGTCACGCGAAGATCTAGAGTATGTTGAAAACTTCACAGGTATCTCCTTGGAAGACGACAAACCACTGGCGGATGTCAAGCGAGCTAGGTCTGCCGAAAAGAAATCGCCAGAACGCAGTCCTTCAGCTGGTGCGACTATCGATAAGGATCCGAAGTCCGACTACGACTGGTTCCAATTCTTCCTTTCCTGCGAGGTCGCCGTGGGCTTGTGCGAGCGTTACGCACAAGCCTTTGTCAAGGACTCTATGGACGAGAGCGTACTGCCCGATGTCGATGCTACCACATTGCGAGCGCTTGGAATTCGCGAGGGTGACATCATAAAAGTCATGCGTACTCTGGATGCCAAGTACGGCCGCAGTCGTGGTGGGAAGAGAGGTGCTGCTGATGCAGCTGATGGCGAGGGAGGCTTGTTCTCCGGTCCCGGTGGCGCATTAAGGAATAACACTCGCAAAGGCCGCCCTGCACCAGCAGTACAGACCAGTGATGTTGTTGATGCTGGTGCTTTCTCTCAAGGCGATTCATCTAAGCCTGGAGAAGACGATACGAAATCGCCCCAACCAACAAGCCCCTCCAACAAGAACTCCGAATCTCGCCAGGCGACCAACACCGGCTTTGACGACGATGCTTGGGATGTGAAGCCGAGCAAGCAACAAACACCGCCATCGCAGCCGCCAGCTGAGCCAAGCCAGAAGCCTGCCCCTGAGCCCGCCCCCGTGTCGCCTCTTCCCCCAGCACTGACCGGCTCGATGCAAGAGCTATCTCTGCTTTCAACACCACTCGAACCCACGAGGACAGAGCCGGCACCAGCTACATCAGCGTCAACTACCCAGGCACCCGTTATCTCTGCCCAGCCAACATCCTCAGCACCCACATCGCAGGCCCTTGGCGGCGCTACCCCGTCATTCTTTACCTCTGTTGCGCAGGCGAGACAGCGCCCTGCTCCGCCACAAGCTTCTAACCAGGGCTCTCTTGTCCCACCTCCACCTCAGCGACCCCTTTCAGCACCGCAGTCAGCTCAGCCTAGTGGGTTTGCCCCTCCTCCCATGATGCCTCAGATGACGGGTGCTCTACAGGGTCAGGTTGCCCCCCCTGGCCAGAGCCTGAGTGATCTCACACAGGCTCGCCTACAGCAGCAATACACAGCTCAAATGCAGCAACAGCAATCCCTTCAGCAGATGCAGCCCAACATGACTGGATTCCCTGGACAGCAAGCTCCTGTGCAGATGCCTTTCCAAACTGGCGCTGGTCAGTTTATGCAGCCGATGATGACAGGAATGACTGGACAGAACCAATTTATGCCGATGCAAGCTCAACCTACTGGCTTCCAACCATCATTTCCCGCCACCCAATCAATGTATGGAGCTCCCACAGGGGGCATCAATAGCTACCTTCCCCCTGCTCTTGAACCACAGCGAACTGGTATGTCTGGCTTGGTCCCTCAACCGACGGGAATGTCGAACATGGGCAACATGGGTGGCATCAACAGCACACAAGCCCCTCAGCCTTTGCAACCACAACAAACCGGGCCGCCTCCTCCTGTACGATTCGGCGTGACGAACGACGCCAAGAAATTGGCTCCTCAAGCAACTGGGCGAAGGGCCAACCTGTCGCAAGCGAGTAAGTCAATGGTCCAATGCCTTTTGTGTTACAAGATGCTGATGTTCTTATAGCTCCCCAGAATCCTTTCGGTTTCTGATCCAAGAAAGGCATACGACAATAGGTCGCTGGTGGCTCGTCACTTTGTAATTTTGCGAATACTCTAAACACTCTGGACACATATCTTCACATCTTGTATGCATGTGTAGGCTTACCAGACAAGGCCGCCTTGGAGTCGAGCGTGGGGTAATAGTACTATATTCATAACTGGTCACGGCTTAGCCGGATCAGTTCGCTTCTCATCTTAATCTATAAGTTTATGCCAAACCATTTGTTGATCTCTTAACATGCGACCGCCCTTAATACAGATATTGTTGCTGGTGAGATAGATAAACCAAAAAAAGAGGAATCACAAACAAAAAAGCCAGAGAATCTTCAGATGAAGCCCATCTTACACTTTGCACCTGATGGAGTAACTTGGCGCGAGTTCCAACCTTAGCTGTAGTCTCCAACGATTGCGATTCCAGTATTGTGTTGCGGATGCCGCCGGTGTTACTTGGTCTTTCCCGCAGTGATCGAAGCAGCGAGTAGAGCAAATCTTGGTCAGCCGATGCATCAGGCTATGTGTGACTGTATGCTTCTGCGCTGCTCCTATCTCGTTCAAGCCTTGCGACGGCGACCGCCACTGACTTTGGATGGACCTGTTGCCACGGAGGAGAAGTCGATCTCAGCCTCTGTAAGTGGGCTTTCCTCGACCTTCTCTTGTGATTCCGAGGATGGCTCGAAGCGCTTTCGGACAGCGCGAATCATCATGAAGAACCAGTAGAAGTTGAGGCTGTTTAGCGTAACATTGCTTGCCAGATAAGCAACTCCGATCCACATAGGCACTGTCGAGTCTGGATGTGCGAATGACATGGTGGGCATCATGAGGGCCTTCATATCGGGGTTCACGTTGATGGCAGACCAGACGTCGCGGTAGACACGGAAAGAAGAGTAGGTTCCGTAAACAAGCCGGCAGGAGAAGAAAGTGAAAAGGAGCGCAAAACCATTGTACAGCTGTGCCTTGGAACCGGTCATGTTGAGCTTATCCATAAACCAATGAACATTGAGGAAAGGAGTGGAAAGTTCCCAGAGGATGAAGACGCAGGCATAGTGGTTGAGGAATGGGCGCTGGAGTATATTAGTATATATAATGTGATAACTGGAGATGTTGAAGTTAGACGTACAAACCCGAGTGAGTACACGAGAAGAGCAGCAACCGCATGTGCGAGTGTTCCCACACCGAAGACATCAAAGTTCAAACTTGTAACCACGAGGTCCCATAGAAAGTACCCTGCCGCAAGGGCTTGAATGAAGCCGGCGCCACCAGTATAGCCCCAGATGCGCTCCTCCCATTGCATGTTACTCATCTCAGTGTCGACGAACATGACCCAGATAGCCAAAGCGTTGATCAGGCAGCTCTGGACCATTGAAACAACGTGGGCATCCCAGTTGAGACGTCGCTTACGGGACAGCTTTGAGTAGTGCTCTGGGGCTAAAAGGTTTGAGATCCATGGTGAGATTGGCCAAAAGATGACCGAGTATAGCAACGCAGCAGCGAAGACTTCGTGAATGTGCAACGGCAGAGTTGGAAGGTCAAAGTAGTCGGCCCATGGCTGTGTCTTTTCCGACAGCCACGCAATAGGCGGCAAAGGGAATGGGTCCTTCATGATGGGCAGGATCGTGAACGTAGATGTTGAGGTTGAGGTTGGGGGTTTTCAGCCGAGATAGTCTTGAGTTCTCGAAGGCGCAAGCGAAAACAGAGGAAGGAGAAGAAGACCAAGTCTAACCAGAGGAAGTGGATGGGGCAGGAATTATAACAAAAGACCGAGGCAATGCGGCGCAAGTAATTTTAGTATGCAGCTTTCATGGTAATGATACCTGCTGGTATTGGATATTAAGGCAACCTACTAAGCTTCAGTACCATGATGAGTTAGTTAGTGGAGGTTCCTGGTCACGTCTGTTGGGGAAGCTCACGTGGGACAACCACGGGTAAGGGTCCGCAGGGTCGCTTTTAGATCCCCACGGGCGGTAGCGCTCTGATAGGTCTTATTTCCAGTGCTCAGACGTTGAGATTCAGGTACACGTCTAGGTGGCTAGGGACCTCAATACAGCCCGTCGTCGGGTCGGGTGCTACCGTCATAGGTATCGTTTGCCAGGACACCCCCACCAGATCAAATGAGCTCCCTTTAGTCCAATGTACAGAACGGGTACAGTCCAGCTGCCACATCACTCTTTAGAACACCAGACCAACCTCCAGCTCGACCTGTTCAACCACTATCTATAGGTTTTGTGCTGAACCTTGAGAGTGCGGCATCTTCAAGCCAAGACGTATTTGACTTTTTATTTCCTGTCGCGTAAACTTGGTCTACCAACTTTTGAATCGAGCCAAACATTGAAGATCGACCGCATCGTATCGTGTCACGCAACGACACGACTTTCCTTCAGCCATGGCAGAGGCTCTAAGGGACCTACTGGCTCCCGAACAGAAGAACGATCCCGCTGCTTTGGACTATCTCACCTATCTTGCCGAACAGCAATCCAGCTTCCTGCAGACATCAGAGCCTCAAGTGCTGTCCCAGACTTCGCATTCGCTACTCCTCGCCGTACAGGCCCTTTCGAAGAGATCTCATAAACCTATCGTCGATTCAGCAGCGAGCCATGCTTCTTTGAAAGATTCTCTCCCGGCTCTAGCTCAGCGAGCTTCCGATCTTGTTCAAGCAGTGCCTCGTCTAGATGCACAAGCTGAACACTTCTCATCGGCCTTCGGCAAGGCCAGTGACAGCAAGCTGCTCGCGCGAAGGAAGCAGGCTTTGTTACTCCTTAGAAACTCGGAACGACTAGTCGATGTCATGGAAATGCCTTTGCTTCTCTCTTCTGCCGTTTCAGCTGCCCCAGTCAATCACTCCACTACGCTCGAGCTCTACGCACACGTTCGACGTCTAGCTTCCCTCTATCCAGATTCACCGCTTGTCATCTCAGTAATGCAAGAGGCCGATGCAGCTATCCGAGAGATGGCAGCAGACCTCATTGGAACCCTCAAAGCACCTAATCTTAAACTGGCTGCAGCTATCAGAACGATAGGCTGGCTGAAGCGTATCGTCCCTGACCTGGTTACTGACGCCTCGACAGAGGACGCACTTCCAGCTGTGTTCTTGGTCTGCCGTCTATCTACGCTCTTGACGACGTTGGAAGCATTGGAGCCTCTACGGGATTTGGCAGACGAGGAACGACTTCGAAAGGACAAGGCCACTAGCACATGGTCGGGCGGCCAACAGACGGAACGCTACCTGAAGAGGTTCATCGAGATATTTCGAGAACAGAGCTTCAGTATTGTCTCTGTGTTCAAGAGTATAAACTCAAGCTTCTCCTCCCAGACATCCGATAGCAACGATCCGTTGGGATCACTGCCCTCTCCGATGGCCAATTTCCCTTTGCATATGGTCGAGATGCTTGTGGAAACTCTGCGCATTTACCTTCCCACTGTCAAAGATCAAACATCAAGAGAGAGCATCTTGACACAGGTACTTTACTGCGCGGGAAGCTTGGGTAGGCTGGGAGCCGACTTCGGCATGCTCCTCGCTTCGATCGGTGTTGTTGAATGGGTTGAACTCGTCAAACGCCATCGTCTCTTAGCTGGACGTCTTGAATCTGTCATAGGCGATTATCGGGGCAGCCAGGCTGGTACCGGTACCGGTGGCGTTGGCGCAAATTGACCACATCAATCTACATACTCAAGTTAGCATGGCATGGCCATGCTTTACTAACACGTGCTAGATGCATCAAAGCGGGGCCCATTACTTCAACGGGGTCTGTCTTGTTTAGTCCGATTTTATCTCGTCATGTCACTCACTCAATCCCTCTCACTTGTGGCTCAAGTCTGTGACTAGCCATGGGCATTTCAATTGCTAGCTCGTCATCTCAACACGATGATGCTGTTGTACCCTCCCCAGTGACCGAGAAAAGGTCCTCGCGGTCGGCCAATTCAGGTATGCCTTGTTTTCAAGGTCTGATATCGAGAGCCTATCCTCTCGGCGCGGACCGGCCTCGGTGTTCATAATCTGACATGTTCATAGCTCGTCATTTCATATCTGGTCTTGGCTCGGGTGTGACTTCTGCTGTTATTTTGCAGCCACTGGATCTTCTCAAGACACGAGTACAGCAATCTAGGAGCTCTTCATTGGTTGCTACTCTGCGCGACCTAAGGAAGTCTTCAAGCTTGGTGCAGTCATTATGGAGAGGCACCGTTCCGTCTGCGCTTAGGACAGGGTTTGGATCAGCTCTCTACTTTACGACGCTGAACGCCATCCGTCAACATGCGCACCAGACAGGCGTTCTGGGTCGTCGCCTGCAAACCCAAGGTCGCTCATCGGTGCTTCCGTCCTTGACGAACTCGGGCAACCTCATATCAGGTGCTGTTGCAAGGACGTTTGCTGGCTTTGTATTGATGCCGTTGACTGTGATCAAGGTTCGCTTTGAGTCCAGTCTTTACTCTTACCCTTCGATTATGTCTGCCGCTACTGATATAGGCCGTACCCACGGCTGGCGCGGTTTCTTTTCGGGGTTCGGAGCTACAGCACTGCGGGATGCACCATATGCTGGCATGTACGTATTGTTTTATGAGATGCTCAAGTCACGGCTTGGAGCACTTGCTTCCAAACCGGTCATTTCCGGCGATGGGCAAACCAGGATGCAGGCCACTCTGGCTAGCTCAGTCAACTTTACCTCTGCCATGCTCGCTGGCGCAGCATGCTCGGTAGTTTCAAATCCTTTTGATGCTGTGAAAACTCGCATTCAATTGCAGCCGCTGGAGTACCGGAACATATGGCATGCCTGGTATAAAATGGTGACACAGGAGGGCGTCCGGTCATTATGGGATGGCCTAGCGTTACGAATGAGTCGCAAAGCTATGAGTTCGGCACTGGCCTGGACTGTTTACGAAGAGTTGATCCGTCGAGCTGGAGCAAAGTAAATGTATATTGTGTACAACAACTGTAACAAAACCTCCCCCCAACAGATAAACAGTAGACCACTTTTATGCAACTGATATAATGTAAAACATACCGCCCGCTGTCAGCAATCCGTCTTGTGAACCCTATGCCGGGCGCACGCCTGCAAGATACATCAAAAGTGAAGGTGATTTACTCCTGCGGCGGCTGTGCTTGTCTGATTTGTCTGATTTCTTACGCACCCACTCGAACTCAGGCTCGTCTCTGCCATGTCGCTTCTCCTCCACCATGAGCATCTTGCTTCGCTTCTCGCGGATCAACTTGGTGTGCTTCCATAGTTGATCTTGTTCCCACTCAGGGACCCAGCGTCTGATCAGTACGTAGTCAGGATCCTAGCAGTAAAGTTAGTTCATTGTACCAGGTGTAAGCTGGGCTGATTGGACCATGTCCACGAGGTGATTACATACCGCATCAAAATCGAATTCGACACCAAACTCGCGCAAAGACTCTATAGAAAGATGGCGGCGAGCCATGCGTGTGTAAGTTGGACGAGCGACTTGACCTCCTGGGCGAGGAGCAGGAGGGGGTGGAGGAATGGTAGCTATCTGGTTGATTGGGGCATATGGGTGGGATGAGCCCGGCATTGCGTGATGTGGAAGAGGCTGTGGTCGAGGTGATGGCTGCTGTTCCTTTTTGATCTTTTCCTTCTTCAAGATGGCCTCGATAGCTTTGTCATCAAGACCTGATTTAATCAGGTCTTCCTTAAGGCGCTTTTGGTATTCTCTGTCTTTCGCCTCCTGATCGGCCTTCTCCTTTGCTACGCGATCTTTCTCCGCTTGCTTGTAGCGTTCAACGGCTTCGGCGGCTTCCTTCTCCTTTTGGTCCCTAAGTTTCTTCTCTTTGGTAATACGTTCAAGTTCCTTCCTCTTGTAATCCTCAACAGCGGAATTGGCCTCCTTTTCGCGGCGTTGTCTCTCTTCTGCGGCCTCATCTTCCTCCCTAAGCCGCTTCAACTCGATTTCCTTCTTGATGCGGTCTTCCTCATCCGCACGAGCTTTGCGTCCCTTGATCTTCTCCAGCTCGCGCTTAGCTTGCTTGAGCTCTTCTTCGTCTTGAAACTCTCTCAAGCGTCGCCGCTCTTCATCGTCTCGGGCACGGGCAAGATGCATCTTCTCAAGCTCTTTACGAGACTGTTCCGCTTCCCACTCTTCGCGATATCCCTTGACTAGTTGTCGCTCGTCCTTTTCACGCTGTCGTTGATCCCTTTCACGTGAGCTAGCGAGTCTAGTCTTCTCAAGATCTTTGCGTGCTTGCTCGGCCTCCCACTCATCACGATATTGCTTAACCAGTTTTCGCTCTTCTTTCTCCCGAGACGTGGCAAGGCGCAAATCCTCAAGCTCCTTGCGAGCTCTCTCAGCCTCCCATTCTTCTCGGGTCATGAATGAAGAAGAGCGAGACCTAGATGATCGGGATGGTGATGATCGTGAGCGTGAGCGCCGACGGCGAGACGATCGTGAGACTTGCTTGCGATCATCCTCGTCATCAGAAGACAAGTCGTTGTAGATTTTATTATTGATAATCACAGGAACTGGGGCTGGAGGACTGCTGGCGCGACGGTCTCTTGTACGGGAATAGTCCCTCGAGCGGGAGCGGGAATTGGATCGATGTACACTTGTGATGTTAAGACGGTCGGCTCCAAGGTAGCTGGGGCCTGGAGGAGCGTCATAGTAGTTTGAAGGACGCTGAGGGTTTTGGACATAGCGAATACCAGGAGACGGCCCTCGTTTCTGGTAACGGGAGTCGTAGTCATCCTCATCGTAACTATAGCTACTGCGACTCATTTTGAGAGTAGTAGAACAGTAGCTGGCCAAAGGGAAGTCGAGCAAGGGTGTTATGCCAGGTATGTATACAGTTAGAGTCTCTAAGCAATTAGCGACGGGTGTCAACAAAGAGGACAGAAAAGGAAGGAGAGCGAAGGAGGAGGAGGAGCGACAGCGGCTGATAAATAGACATCGAGGATCCTTGGTCGTTCGGAGGGAACCGCTTACCAGATTGCTGTAGGGCTGGCCTTACAAGAAGAGGGGGCGGGGGCTAAAACTCAGTGGGGGCCGGATCCTAATCCTCGTCCGAACATCCATGGTCCCTTGTCTGTTCGCCTGTCAGCACCAGTCATTAATAGGGTTCCGGGTTACAGGTTGCAGGTACGGGTACATCGCACAACGTGGCGGCCTTTTCGTCCCAGAAGCAGGAGCAGCGGTGAGTGGTGAGAACTAATCTCATGATATGATAGAAATTATGTCCTGGTTCCACTGTGACTGATATCAATGCACCGTAACCGCCACAAATTCATGGAGGTGTCTATCGGTTGAGCTATCGTGGCTCCTCAAGCCGACCCTCCTTATTGGGGATGGCGCCACGCTTTGGGGCTTATAGGTGTGAGACGATCGCAACCCGAAACGACAAAGCATCTCCTACCCGCGTTCATGGCCTCGGCGGTCACTTGACCAAGCATAAATGGTCGCTTGAGGCGCAGCCGTAGGGCTGGTAACGCTGTAGAACGGAAGACATGTAGGCAGGCGCTTATTGAAACGATACCGCCGGGCTATATCTGTTAACGAGACATTTTGACACGGCCAGGATGAAATAAAACACATGTTCAGTATCGTTAAGGTGATATTGGGGTGGGCGCTTCCTAGTCTGATCTGAAACTCTCGCTGGTGCTAACTTCATTTGGTACGAAGCATTTGCTCAATGTGCTCGCGGCTATTCTTGTGTGTCGTTTCCAGATACAGCAACCGCTGACTGAGCTTGTCCACCTCGCCCTCCAGAGTTTGCGTTTGTCCCTCAAGCTTTTGCCGAAGAGAGTCCACGGGCAGTGAGACAAACCTGCAAGATATCACAACACCAGTCAGACATCGGACAGAGGAATCAATGATGAAGACGACCGCGACGGGAGGAAAGGATTAGTGGTAGTGGGTACTTACATTTTTCCAACACCTTCATAAACGACAGCATCGGAAGGAAGAGAAGCCATCTCATTGATGGTCAGCTTGACAAGGCGTTGCTCACGTTGCTTGGAAGTCATTTGTGTTCGGGCCAGGCCGATCTGCTGCTGGGCTACGAAAGCCTGGCTTTCGATCTCCCGCACGAGCTAGAAGCCGCAGGCGTGGTTAGCATGACTACTACCAGGCGATAGCCTACGCGGTTTGTTTCGCATATCTGTTGTAAGCATTTGGGGACATACCTTTTGCAAGGCCTCATTTGGAATCGACATGATGGTGTTGATATGTAGGATGAGAACTGCGGGACAAGGTTGTAATAACTGACTTGAGTACCTGCCTGTGGAGAAGGCGTTTAGGGGCCTACGTACCAACCTAGTGGGGGTGTCGTTGAACCGTACCTTGGGCTAGGTTAAATGTTAATAAGTACCTATTCTTACATAAGTCCCTATGTAAATTATACTTTATATATTTCTATTAAGAATCTAGCTTTCTTAACTTGAAAGATAGCTTATTAAGTAAATTAAATTATAAGCTTAATTTAATTAATACTTTTAATAGCTATTAAACTTTAATAACTATTAATATATAATAGCTTTTTATTTTTTTCTTTACTTCTTTTCTAATATATATATATTTATTTTATATACTTTTTTTTTAAAAAGAAAATACTTTACTTAGTAAATTAACTTCTTGCTTAATTTATTAATACTAACTATAATTACTAAACTTAACTATTACTAATATAGCTATAACTTATATATATATAAGGCTACTATATAAAATATAGTAGCTTTTTCTTTTTTCCTTCTTTTTATAACTACCTTAACCTTTAAAATACTTTCTTTTTCTTATAATAAGATCTTATTTTTTAAAAATATTTATATAAAATATTACTATAGGTATTAGCTTAATAGCTTAAAAGATTAAGTTACTAATATAATTAAAGTCTTTAATAGTAAGATTATTACTAGATTAACTATAAAATAATTAACTATAATCTTTATATTATAATCCCTATAGTTATTAAGAATCTAGCTTTATTAGCTTTAAAGATAACCCCTTAGGTAGGTTAAATTATAAGCTTACTTTAATTAGTATTACTAATAGCTATTAAACTTTAACTATTACTAATATAGTAATATATATAAAAGGCTACTATATAGGGTATAGTAGCCTAGCTTTCCTTCTTTTTCTTTTACCCTAGCTTTAATCTATATATAGAAGTTATTAAACCCTTAAACCCTACCTATTAATTTATATTACTAACCTATTTTATAGTTATAGAAATCCTAGCTAAGTACTATAATATTCTCCTAATAAAAGATTACTATTATAATAATAATATATACCTAGGAATTATAGAAATTAAAGTAGCTACTTTATATATATTATAAGCTACTATAAACTTAATTTTTAATCCCTTTTTTAACCTTATTATATATAAAATTAACTTAGCTATCTTTATTTATAAGCTTTCTTAGCTAATTTAGTAAAATATAGATATAGATTATACTTTATCTTTAGTTATTAAATTAATTATATTAAAAAAGCTAGTAAAAAAGCTAGTTATAAAAAAAGAACCTAAGAATAATAAGAAGAGGTTTCTTAAGAAGATTAACCTAGGTAGCTAAACTATTTACTATATATAGTTTATTATTTTAAAAGATTAAGTAAAGATAATAGTTAGCTATATAAATAGGCTATAATAGAATTAGTATATAGT